TTTTCTCACCTATTTTCCAATTGAATATGAAATTTTGATCATCAAACTATTCCTTGAAACCAGTCTAATAAGAATTCTTAAAGATTCTTAGTTCATTAGTAATTTGAGGTTAGGATGATAAAGATCTTCAAAAATACTTTGAATAAAATTGTCAGTCCGTTTTTTGTGTGATAAAATCAAGAATTTCCCGTTTTTTTGATTGAATATCAATGATTTATTACTGAAAACATATTTTCTAACTCTTTTTGATTCAAAACGCCACAATTTACTAAGAATTCTGTGATTTCTCAAAGAGTTTCAAGTGAGTTTCAATAACTCGTCAGTAAAAGAATAATTTAAAAGAGAAATTATTGTAAGATTTTGAACATTTCCAGTCAAGTTTCCAGTTCTTCACCACTTCTAACAGCATTATCTCCCCCTTGGCGTCGACAAAACGATGATTTTCGCGTGAATTAGAGCGTTTTGGGGATTCTTTCGCTACAGATTGGCTGTGAAGCGTGACGGAATGGCATCAGGACCGGGACAGAGTGTGTCCTGATCGCTGTGTGCATAATGAGAAGTGCGCGGAGAGAAAAGGAATCTTCAAGTGCGCACTGAAAATCAATTCAAATTGCTCTAGTTCGCGACGCCGAGAGAATCCACAAGAGGATCACCAATTTAAAATGAAATATTTCAGTGGCGCAGAAAAATATGAAATCTCCTCTATGCGATCGGAATATTTTAAAAATTATCACGCACAGGAATTTAATAAGGATGGAAAATATGCTTTCATGATAGAATTTCAGCTTGATCGCCATCTTTGGCATGGCAAAATACATAAATTCATATTGACATTCCAATGTCTTCTGTTCGATTGTATCGAAGATTCGCATTTTGCTCAAGCGCAGCAATTGATTGTGTTTATCGTGATCTTCATTAATGTTAATTAGATAAGCGCTGGGAGAATTTGTAACACTTGAGAAATGTCTTAATCAACTTGTGATCTCTTGGCTTTAGGAAAAACTCTCTCGAAGGCAAGCAGAAGTTGCCGAAAGATTTGCTTCACTATTTGTAGACAATCTCACGGTCTTTTTTCCTTCTCTTTCACCTCTTGCCGCGTGTTTTTGATTCAATTAACGAAAATGGCATCGTAAACCATTGGCGAAAGATTCGACGGGAGTATTTTTGGGTGAAAAAGTGCGACAAATCCGCCCAAAAATGCAGAAAAAACAGGCCGTTTAGGGATTATATGAAATTAATTGAAAGGTGGCGCGCGGGCAAGAAATTGAGGAAGAAACTTGATGGAAATCGATCTCATTAACCGTGGCCAAAATGCCGCGAAATGATTTGAGGGTCTTTATTTTATGTGGAAGTCTTTTGCATACAAAATGCCTGTAATCACTTTATTAAACGACTGCGCGATGATGACGGTGATTGTGAGGATTGAAAATTATTGGAGAGCAATTCGCATTGGACAAGAAGTCAATCATTACGGGAAATCAAAGTGAGAGGTCATCGTCTTTCCTCTCTCCCTTAGACGCAATGTTTTGGGCCAAAGAGAGGAAAACAAGGCGGGAAATGATCTGGGCAACAATCTCTCTCTCTCTCTTAAAGTATGACTATTAAGAGATCGAGCGGATGGAAAACAAGAGTGCAATTTTGGCATATGAAATTCCCCGCATTCGCATAATTACAGCGTTTTGCAGGAATTTTCGAATTTGCCTCTTTGATCAGGGACCATTATTCATCCCGTGAGCAGCATTGCGTCTCATCACTTTATCATTATCCCAATGGCCAGTGTGTGTCAATTTAACCTCGGCCATTTGCCCAAGTGAGCGTGTTCTCGAATTTGTGCCTTTTCTTCGCATCCCTTCTTAAGACGCCATCAACTTTATTGGCCCAAACATTGACACGGATCACTTGCGAACACGCTCAAATAATGACGCCAAGCAATTTCGTAATTGGCCCATCATCAATTGACTTCTTCTGCGTTTCTTATTGACATCACGCGGGAGTTTTCGGCTGATCCGCGCCTGGCGATATTCAAAGCGCGCGATCTCGTTAAGGGCGCTCAATTATAAGGCGACTTCCCAACTAATCAGGACATCGTGAGCAGAATAAAAGAGCGATCAAGCAATTTTCCTTGCTTTCACACAGGATTTGCACTGGAAATCTCCACCGAAAATCCGTTTTCTCACATGAATTTATGACTAAACTTCAAGGGAAGGTCAGTCGGGAAAGGGTTACCAGATTAGAATTTCATAAAAGCGCCTAAAATGAATTTAGCGACGGAAAAGCAGAGATTTAATAAGAAAAACTGTAAGTTAGAAAGGTTTTTAATTGATTTATTGACTAGAAGAAGAACGAATGAAAAGTTCAGATAAAAGTAAGGTTAGAAACACCTAAAATTGTGGCTAACTTCGCTCCTTTTGCCTTTTGCAGATCCCAAAAATGTCAAGATGGGACAAAATAACAGATTTCCTTGTCAGAATCATGCAATGGAAGGAATTGAAATGGATTTTTCTGGTAGAATTCTGCAGAATGTCCTTGAAAATGTCTGTTGTGATTGTGTTTTTCTGGACAAAAATGCTATTTTTATGCTGAAAACAGCGAAAAATCAATTCTTCTAACATTGGCGAATATCTGAAAGATCGAAGAAAACCTTTTAAGCTTTATTTAAGCGAAATATTCCAAAGACAAGAAAGTCTTCCAACTCTCGATGATCTTCGTCTGAATTGCACACCTCTTGTGGCCCCAATAATTCCCCCTTGTTCGCGACTTTTCTGACCCATTTTCCGTCTTGAGACAGTCTCGCGCTTGATTTACAACTCAGGTCGGAAATCGTGCTTAGTTCCTGTCTCTATTTTTTCTCCCATCATTCACAACACCAAAAATTTCCACATCGCAGCGCACATTTTTGTCATCGCCAGAGAAAACGATTCAGCATTTCATCGCCCAGTCGCAATAAAGCATCTTGCGCGCGGCACAGGGGGAGGCAATTGGCCTGGCGCACTCAGTCACCAATCAATTTCACCTCCCCGTGCGAATTCCATAGCGTCCCGCACGGCTGCACAGACGTAAACATTTGGAGAGCGCATTTCGCAGTTTATATCGAAAATTGGCGGCAATTTAATGGCGGGAATGCGCAAATGCATTTTCTTAACGAGAAATTTTAATTAAAACTACACAAAAAATGCATCTCATTGTTTCCATATGTGCTCGCGCGCACACAGAAAACCGCGAAAAATTGCTGCACATCAAAGATTGGCTGCACTTTGCCATCAGGGATCTTCTTGGGCTTCCGCGAAACTCTTGCGCGCACTCTTCGTGCGCTGACTTTCGCGAATTGACCTGAACATGTCGTGCTCCAGTTTTTTTTCGCCTCCCTTTTTCCCGATTTTATTGAAAATCTTATCGAATTGCCAATTGAATAGCGCAAGGCGGGCCGAAATGGGTTAGTTTGGGATCAAAACTGGAGTAAATAAGGCAATATTGTTGCCGAAAATGCTTTTAAGAGCAAAAAGTGACGCTGTTTGTACTGTTTTATTCTTTAGAAGTCGAATTTTAGCAATTTAACGCTAAGCCACGCCCTCTCAGTTGCTCCGCCCCATCAAATTACCAAATTCTCGCTCTTAAATGTATTTCTCAGCTACTAAACATCATTTATTCACGCCTATTTCAATCAATAACACAAATCAATGTGAAAAACATTCAACTGCAGTTATTCGCACTGATAAATCCAACCAGACCGCAAAGCCCTGCCTTTCGCTATACTTGATTTGGTGTTGTGTTGCTTTTACGGCGTCGCCCTTCGCGTGCTGGGAAAGAGAGGAACTTGGCGAGGAAAGGAGGCAAGACAAAACAAGACTCATTTGCGGTCTCTGCGCTCGATTGTCTCTCTTTCTCTTCTCTCCCACTCTGGACAATAAATCCAGCCGATCCTCACCAATAGATCACCACGAAAATTGATAAAAACGTAATCGTGAATCATGTTAATCAGAGCTTCAATGCTGAGGAATTTCTCTCTTCGCCCCCTAAAAAGAGATTCTCTTCTTGATCGCTGGTCAATTTATCTTGCTTTCTCAGAAAAGTCTGGCGGTCAAGCGCGAGGCAGGAAGAAAAAAAAAGTGTGTGTATTTCCAGCATCTTCATAATCTGGGCTTAGAATGCGTAATTCATTGGGCTTTGAGACCATTTAAACGGATTGGACGACACTTTCTTGACGGTGATTATTTTTTATGGGACGCAAACAGACCGAGATTCTTATTTTTAACACCGTCGTGTTTGCGCCTCAACAGTAAATTATCACATTTTGATAATAAAGTCGGCGTCATTTGGATTAAGCGCGCGAGGACAAAAGGCGCAATGAAGCGCGGAATTCTCAGTGCATTTGTCATGTCGTTTCACCTTTTCACACCTCGCATTTCTTTCGATTTCTTTGTAAAAAAATATCAGTCATAGTTTTTTCGGGAAGTCTTTTGAAATTGTCGATTTTGCCGCCAATTAAGGGCAATTGAAAGGTTTCCATTTGGGAAATTTCCCTTCTTGAGAGAAGATTTGATGAATTTGCGATTATTTGTGGTGCAATTTCAATGGAAAATCACATAAAACCAGTTTATCAGTTGAATTTGATAAGATTTGAGCTTGATTAATTCAATTTTCCAGGGTTTTTAGGCATTTCAAAGTTCCCTCCATTCAGCATGGCAACACTTTGTTTGGAGAATTTCCTCTCACGTGGCAACACTTTAATTACTCATCGCCCGACTGGAGAAATACCAGCAATTCGTACTCTAACCGCTCTTTCAAATGCTTTTATTTCACCAATTTCTGCAAAAAAGCAGAGAAATCTTGAAAAAATCCCATTATTTCTTGTCATAAAAACTATTCACATGAACTCATTCTTGTCTTATTCATTAATTTCTTCACGCTTTTCCATCAACTCCTTACGCAGTATCGCTACTCGTCAGCGATTCGCAGCTGTGCTGATTGTGCGCATTGTCAGTTGGGTTCAATCTGTCAAATCCGAAAACTTCGCAGATTGTTTTGCAAAATTATGAGATCATTTATTTTCCTTAAAAGTAGATATATTTTTAGCGACAGGTAATCCAAGTTGCTGCTCAACGCCTCATTTCCACCCTCAAAGTGAGTATTTTGGCCAAAATCAGTGGATTCAGTGTGAAATCCGAGTGTTTTCTCCGTCGCGATTTCCCTTTCCCACTCGCGCTTGGCCAGCATTGAAGACGTTCGCTTCTATGGCTGGTTGTTTTCAAGGGGATTCCTCACGGTCATGTCATGAGGGTACCATTAGTGGCTCCTCCAATCCGCTTCCAGTCTCTGGCCGCACTTTAATTGGCCGTGAGAGCGGAATTCTGTCGCTGCGGAAGTCGCTGTGAATCACCAACTTTCCTTCTTTCTGGCCAGGATTCTTAGCGATGCTGAAGCAGAAGCTGGTGAAGGAGTTCGTGGAGGCCACAGGAGCGCCCCAGGCGGACGCCCTCAGCTGCCTGACCACGTGGAATTGGGATCTTCCCAAGGCGCTCATCGACTACAGAGGTAAAAGATTGTCTTCTTGTCCGGAAAGGCTCTTCTCACGCCTCCTGGCCGTCCTTCCAGACACCTCAACGACTGAGTACCTCAGCGAGCAGCGCCCCGAGGAGCCACCCGGTTTCTGGAGCACGCAAGACGTGGAGAAACTCCCTCCGGCCGCCGATGGCAGCCAAAGTAAACACAGTGACTCAGGCGATAAGAGCGCCGACGGCAATCAAGGGGATTTTCTCGGTCGTCTGGCAGACAAGAAGCTCGCCAGGCGAATCTCCAAGGCGGACGACAACGTGCACCTCGTGTCGCAGGCCCGAGGCGAATTCTCGCGCGATCCCACAACCAAAGATGACCCGAAGAAGCCACGCGAGCGCCTCGATCCGGATTACACGTTCTCCCTGCCCGACCTCTTCGTCTACCCGGACAACTTCAGGTACACTTCCCGCCGCCCAATCACTCCTCTGTGCTTACTAATGCGCCAATCCTCCCTTCCAGGCGCTTCCTCGAGAGGGATTTGATAGAGAACTCGACGCTAGTCGCCCTCGAGCAGGCTCACAGGCTCAATTGGTGGACGAATCTCGACGGCTGCACCAAAATGTGGCCTCTCTCCACCACAGGTGAGTCACGATCCGCTCTTGACCCACTCCACAGGGTGTCAAGCAGCCGTTTGGCTGGCAAAAGCGTCGCAATTAGCATTCGCTGTCGCCTCAAATGCCAATTGGCGTAAAATTATTCAGATTTTCCTGCAAAATTCAAAGCTAAAGACCACGAAAATCGATTAAAAGCAGCCAAAGCTTGAGAATGAGCAAGAAATTGGAATTATTATGCAAGTTATTTGTTCGAAAAACGACCGGAAAATGATAAAATTGCTATATTTAGTGACACTGAGAGAAAAGAATTGAATTTTTGAGTCATTTACTGAACAAAGAATCAATTAACAATGAAAATTTCTCTCAAATTCTTATATTTAGAATGAAAATGAATCATTAAAAACGTAAAAAGTTCATTAAGAGGCTAAATTTGAACTAAATATGACTGAAAATGGGCGGGGAATTCGAGTGGGCGGAGCTTCTGGTTCATAAGAAGAAGCGTTTCTTGATGAAAATGCAATTAATTATCATTTCTTAACAACAAATAACAGGAAATCTTTATAAAATTGCTTTAATCTATATTTTAATCAAACTCTTATCAACAAATCTAAGAGATTTCTCACGGTTTTTGTATAAAAAGATGAATTTTAACCTAATTTTACAGCAAAGTAGTCAAAAATTATTTATTTCACGGACATTTTCGCAAGTTTATCACATAAAACCTAATTCAAATTGTTTTCAAGTGGGCGGGGCTTAAGAATCTAAGTCAAATCTAAGAGATTTCTCACGGATTTTGTACGGAAAGAAGAATTTTAACCTAATTTTACAGCAAAGTAATCAGAAATTATTTATTCCTCAGACATTTTTGCTAATTTATCACATAAAACTTAAACCAAGTCGATTTCAAGTGGGCGTGGCTTAAGAATGGGCGGTTCTTTGGCATTTTGAACACGTCAATTGATGAAAATGCTTCACAATTCAGTCGATTTGGTCGCTTAAAGCACACAAAAGCAGTCGAATTGCCGATACAATGACTGATGACGAATGCGACGGATTGATTGAGCGCAGTTTCTCCGCACCCTGTGTTTTGGGTTGAAAACTACGCAATATCTTGCAATGCTTCAATAACTTTGGCGGCGGTATTTAGAGCTTCTCCTTATTGACAATGCGAAATGGCGTTTCAGGGTGAATTCTTCGCATTCGCGATCTGAATTCCATTGAAAATTTTCCATCGCGAAAATTTTCGGCTTGTTGGAGAGTTTTTGATTCTCTGTTGGTCGATAAGCTCAATAAAAATCCACGTGTTTGTGCCGCTCGAGAGTGTTTGATTAAGAGGCGGCGCAAGTTGAAGTGGAATTTACAGGCGGACTAACAAGTTTGCCTCCTTGAGGGATGATCAAATATTTGTGAGCATCTCAGGGCGAAGCGTCCTTGAATAATAATGAGCAATTGATAAGAAATGTCCGGAGACGATAAGCGGAGAGCAAACTCTATCTCGTCTTTGGCGAGAAAGCCAAGTTGAATTGGGTCAATTGAGTTCCTTTCACTCCGCAATCTTTGCGACTTTTTTCTACATTGCATGCAAAATTGCGCGCTTCTCGCGAGATATAAAAATTGTGCATTTCCACGCTGCAATTGTTGCTTTTTCCTTGGCAAATGCCAAGTGATTTCCTTGAAAAATTCATCGTCCGGAGAGGAATATTTGCCTTTCTCGCGCGCGCGGGGAAATTGTGCTGTTTTCACGTCATTATATGAGGAAACGATTTTGCAATATTGTGCACAATTTCCATGCCATTCAAAAAGACCATTTTCCTTTGCTTTTCGTCTCTTCTTCAAGTCAAGGCAATTGAATTTGAATTTTTTTGGGAAAAGATAAGTTAGTCTGGAATTATGTTAACACAATTTTCTGTGACTTCCGCAGTTTTTTCTTTCAGCTCAATTCGCAACACAATTAGCTCTCAAGAATGTTGTGAGAAGACAAAGAAATGGAGTGGAAAATCCACTTGAGAACAGAATTTCCAATAAAAAAAACGAGGTTAATGAGTCAAAAAGTAATTTTAGAAATGAGTTTTCAAGCTGTTTTACCAAAGAAATCAACGATTGACAGTCAAAAAAGATGTCTAAATAGATTTTTAAGGGATTTTTGGAGCTCTTTTTATCAATTTTTTTAAAATCTTACTTGAAAAATCATGAAAAACAAGAAATGAGTTTAAAATTGTGTTACTTTTCAATGCAAAATGCAGAAAAAGTCTTCAAAAAAACATTTTTTAAAATTAATAACATGTTTTTTAAGTTTTTTTACTCTTATGTTTAAGAAAATTTACATTTGTTGAAGAAAATTTGTTACTCAAATTGGAGAAAAGTGATTTCCATTCCTCAGGTTTCCATATTCATTCCATTATTCATTCCTAATTCAAATTAATGCTTTCGAAATAATCCAGACAGACTTTTAGATCGTGAAGTCGCGGGTTCAATTCTCAAGCAGTTCGCGATTTTTTTACAACTTTTTTTCACTTCTCTTTCCTTTTTCCCGTTTTTTCCTTGACTAAATATAAATTCCTCTTCAAGAATTATCTCTAATAACCCTTTCTGACGCTCGGAATTGCTTTTTCTTCATAAAGAGAGGAAGTTTCATCCTTAAATATTCTTTTTAAACGTTTTAATGTCAATTCTTGGGCTTGAAACTTCTCCTAAGAACTCATTTTTCAAGCCGAGAATGTATTTTTCCTCAATATTTGATTGAAAAGCTGATAATATTACATTTTTGCGTCCTTTTTCTTTGCACATTTGCGTTCATAAGTTCGAATCCAGTTCGCGACAAGTTTTTTTTTCACATATTTTCCTGTTTTGGCCCTTTTTTAACTACAGTAATTTAATCAATTGGCTAATTTGGGGAATTTTAACACCTCCCAATAAATAATTATTCATCAAAAATCCTGCAAAATGTTATTTGTGAAGCAGAAGAATTTAATTCGCTGACAAAATCACGTTTTTATGGGCGAATAATAGATAAATTCTCTATATTTTATGTATTTTTAGAGCAATGTCAATGCTTTAATTTAATTCTTGGATGTTTTTTCTCTAAATTCCAGCTGAAATTATTCGTCAATTTCTCACTTGAACAATCCTCAGGATTGAAATTCAATTTTTGTGCTTTTCAACAGTATTTTCAAGCACTTTTCACAGCTAAACTCCCAAATTAACAGTGTTTAATCACATGAATTGATGTTTTTGGACTCTTTGACGATTGTTTAGTCTTAAATCATTGAATTTGATTATTTTTCTGCCAAACAATCCAAAGAAGCTTGAAATACTTCACTTTGTTGTTGAGAAGGAAGCTTTAGGAATGCGTGTTAATTCGTGTGTGTTTGTTTCCTTGGTTGGCAGGTGATGGGAATTGCTTGCTTCACGCCGCCTCGCTGGCCATTTGGGGCTTCCACGATCGGAAGTTGTCGCTGCGCTCGGAACTCTTCCATGTCATGTCGTCGCCGATGCTGAGCGAGGCCTTCGAGCGTCGCTGGCGCTTTCAGCAGACGCGCGTGAACAAGAGCGCCGGCTTTGTGTTCTCGGACGCGGAGTGGCGCAAGGAGTGGGAGGCGCTGGTGCTGATGTCATCGCCGGAGCCGCGCGAAGTGTCGTCGGCCAGCAATTTGCGGCGCTGCTCGTTTCCCATTGACAGAATTGACAGCGCCACGGCGGTTTATGAGAGTCTGGAGGAGATTCACGTGCTCGTGCTGGCGCACGTGCTCAAGCGGACGATCATCGTGATTGCCGACACGGTGTTGAGGGACTTGAATGGCGAGGCGATGGCGCCGATTCCCTTCGGCGGGATTTACATGCCGCTCGAGGTGAATCCCAATGAGTGTCAGCGCGAGCCGCTGATCCTGGCTTACGACATGGCGCACTTCTCGGCGCTCGTGCGCATGGACACGCGTGGCGATCGGCCAAACTTCCTCGCGCCACTCACGGACAACACGTTCCAACTGCTGCCGATTCAGTTTGGCATCGATCCCGGGCGGGACTTCGACTGGAGCGCCTATGATGGGACGGAGGGGAATTATAGGCTGACGGAGCAGGAGAAGATCGCGCTGCTGAGTGAATATATGAGTGTCGTGACGGTGCACAGTCGCACGAGCTCGGATGACACGATCTACAGGGATTGGGCGGAGGAGGATGCGCTGGAGAAGGAGATGAATGACATTGAGATCTCCCTGGCCGTGGATGAGACTGATCAGCCGGCGACCAAAGAGAGAAATGCCGCTGGAAAGCAATTGCACAGCGTGGCGAAGCAATTTGGCAGCATTGGGAAGAATATGAGCAAGAAGATTAAGAAGAACATCGAGAGCATCACGAAGATGGGCGGCAGTAAGTCGACGAAGAAGTATCCAGTGATGAATGGTGTGCATTTGCCGCCGCGCACGAGTGTTGCGTGCGCTCAAATTCGCGTGAAACATCACGATTTCTACGAGGCGATGATCAAGAACTATCTCGAGTGTGCGCAGGAGAGATTCATTGAGTGTGAGGTGAAGGAAGAGGTGAAGTGTGCGCCGGAAAATGGGGGTGATTTCATGGTGAATTGCGTGTCTGAGGGTTGCGTGAAGTTCGGCACGGTGGACACGAGTTATCTCTGTCCGGAGTGTTATGAGAATCAGAAGCAGCGTGAGTTCAATTCGTCCTTCTACGATCAAATGCCACGCTATGGCACGGGAAATTCCAAATTCTACACACAAGCTGACATGGAGAGTCACAAGAAGATCACGAGAATTCCTTCAGTTAAGCGTCTCAATGAGCTCGATCAGACGCTTTATCTCTCCAATTCGACGTTCTTCAATGACAAACTCGCGCCCAGCGATCCCGAGACGTTTCTCAGGAGTCGACAGGACAAAACAGCACTTGTGGTGGCGAAAGAGACGCGTCGGCAGAACATTGCGTCCATCTATGATAATCTCTGTCCGGATGATTGCAATTTCCAGTCCAACTATTGCACGAAATGCACAGATTTGCGACATGGATCGAAGGAAATTCCCGACATATCGCTGTAAGTGACCACAAAACTCTCTCTCTCTTTCTCTGTCTCTCTGTTTCTCACTCTGGCGGAGTTGCTAATGTGCAAATTGGCGAGGTTAAGTGCAAAGTTCTCTGATACCATCGGCAACAGCTTGTATTTTTGGCAATTACCACCTTCAGTGCCGCTGAACTTTCAAATGAAACACGATAGAATCATTAAGTGACTCATTTGTAGTGAACAGTGAAGAGCAAAAGTGTAGCTCAAAACTCACACACAGAAGAATTTGATTAAAAAACAGGAAAAACACTTTGATTTTCAGTTTTGAAGACATGAAACACCATGAAAATCGATTAAAACTGAAGTTTGTCGATAGAAAATGGATAAATTTCACAAACTTTGTCATATTGAGAGAGTCTCAAACTCTTGTCTTTTCATCAATGCTTAAGACAAGACTGTAAATTTAGTGTTTGACAAGAATTCCGGGGAAGTTTAGCAATAATCTGCATTGTTGTGTACAAAATTAGGGAAAGTTTGTGCTATTTATGGCACACAATATATAATGAAGTCGCATGCCAAAGTCTTTTCCATCTCCTCGAAGACGATGTGAAAAGAAAACCAGTGAGAAGATTACAGTAATTAGACAATTAGACAGCACACGAAGGATAAGATTGAGACTCTGGATTAACATCAATTGAGCTTTCGTCGGCAGAATTACCGAAAAGAGATATTAAACGGATAAACACTGGATGAAATAGGCGTGGCTTCGAAGTGGGCGGAGCTTATAAGTCGAAAAGGTGTTTTTTGCAATACTAAATTCACTTATAATATTTTATATGGTTATTTTCTGAGATAATTAAATTTCAATCTCAATTTTTCTTTTTATTCTTATGTTGAAGAAAATTTTGATTAGCATTAAATCGATTTATTTGTGCTTTTCAAAAGTGTTTAATCACATGAATTGATGCTTTTGACAATTGCTTACTGAATGACGGATTATTTCTGTAATTGCACCGAAAATCGAATGAAAATGGGCGTGGCTTCGAAGTGGGCGGAGCTTATGAACTGAAAAGGTGTTTTTGCCAATAAATTCACTAATAATATTTTCTGTGGTTATTTTCTGAGTAATTAAATTTATGTCTCAATTTTTCTATTTATTCTTATGTTGAAGAAAATTGGATTAACATTAAATCGATTTATTTGGGCTTTTCAAAAGTATTTAATCACATGAATTGATGTTTTTGACGGTTGCTTATTGAATGACGGATAAACACTGGCTTAATTCTGTAATTGAACCGAAAATCTAATGAAAATGGGCGTGACTTTGGAGTGGGCGGAGCTTATAAGCTGAAAAGGTGTTTTTTGCAGTACTTTTGGTTGATTTTCTAAGATTTCACTCATATTCTTTTGTAGTTGTTATATTGAAACATATTTGGATTATCATTGAATTTTTGCAAAAATTCATTATTTTTTATGTGAATATAATTATTTGTGCTTTTCTACAACATTATTTGACATTTTTCAACTTTTTGACGGTTGTTTTTGGTTGAATTTGACTGTTTTGGAGAATTGTGACGGTTGAATTAATCAATTGAACTGAAAATGGGCGTGACTTCGAAGTGGGCGGAGCTTATGAACTACAGAAAGCTATTTTCAGCACACTTCTGCTCATTACTGTTCATCTCTCACTCTGTGTTGAAATTCAACTAAACATTTGACTTTGTGAACTGTTTCAATTAGACCTTTAATTACGTCGCCAATAGGAATTTATGCGAGTGTGAGTGTGTGAAAGTTGTCCGAATCCTACAGCAAACGACCACAAATGCAAGGGTGCATTCATCATGTTGTTGGGGAAGGAATTTTGTGAAATGCATTGCATGAGAATTTGTAAATGATCCCAAACAGTGAAATGGGGTGGAAAAAGAGAGGAGAAAGCATCGCATGTTAAGTTTGGGGCTTTTTCATTTTGTGGGGGTTGGAAATTTATGTTCAATTTATACAGCCCCCAAAAGGGTGGGGAAGGAGAAACGCATAAGGGATGAAGAGGCGAGAGAGAAAGTCATTAATTGACGAAATATTTAAATTTTTCCCGTGTATTTCTCCACTTGAGTTAAATAGGCATTTTTGGGGGGCGATTAATTGCGGCTTGGCGTGTGCGATGAATGTTGGCCTCAAACCATTCGCCGAGTGCTCGATTTTTGCAGGGCTAATGATTGATGGCACGCGCTGGGTTTGCTTGTTGGTTGAGAAGTGTGAAAAATTGCACAACAATTAAATTGTTTCCACAGCAAGAAGTGAGATTGCGAGAAGTGACACGAAGAGAGTGAAGAAGTTCTTCTTCTTTGGGTGGTTTGAGAAACTTGAGCACACTTTAAATGGGAAAACTTTCAGTTCATTTCTGTGATATCGTCACCAGTGTTGATAGGCCTTGGCAATTTCCCACCCAGACGATGACGGCTAATTGAGTTGCTCTCTCAGTGTCTTTTGGCACTGTTTTCGGGGGGCAAAGAAGAAGATGAAGATGAAGAAGAAGGGAAAAAAGGTGAATGATTAAACAATGGGAAATATGTCAAGTCACTGCAATTTTTCCACTTTTCCCTCTGTTTTTTTTTTTCTCTTGTGCGACGCACAAGAAAAGTGCCCGTGAAGAATTGTTGGGAAGTTAATGGTTGGGCGTTTGAGAGTCAGCAAGAATATCTAATAATAAAGTATGTATTTTGAGGAGGGAGGAAAAGTAAGAGAGAGAGAGAATTAAGAGCGCGACATTATCATATTTGAATATTTATCAGTTTGTGTGGAGAAGAAGAAATTCCATTGATTCAAATTCAGACTTCTTTCACATCCCAGCGAACACAAGATGCTCAAAAGTCTCAAAAGTTGAGCTTGAAATTGTTGATTTTTGTGCTATTTTCCGCTCAAATTTTAGCTATTCGATTGCTGCACTAGCGATTGTAGCGGCGACCAGTCAAAGTATTGATGTCACATCATACAAAAACAATTATATTTCAATAATATACTTCGTGATTACAACACTCGAGTGAATTGTATAAATAGCGCCATGCAAATAACCTCAAAATTGAGAAATTTACATACTTTCAAGGCTTTTTTTAACCGGATGAAGAGAAGTCCATGAAAGTTGTTGGATTTCCGGTTTTCTTGCTAAATTTTTATCACAAAAAAGCTAAAAACCAAGCACAATATTTAGCGAGAAAAGAGCAGAAAAACACGGAGAATTGCTAAGAAAATAAGCTCAAAAATGTGCTGTAAATCGACGGGTGAATCGAAGACTATCAAAAGTCGTTTTTTAATAGTTGACGTCTTATGTCTGTTTGGATTGATCTTAATGTCTTCTTATCACGTGTGAAAACATTACATTGAGTGCATTGGCAAAAAATAAAGAAATAAGATTTTTCTTAAAAACTCCGCGTGTAGAAAATTTCTCAATGTTGCGTTGAAAAGTATGAAAAGTCGACTTTTGATAGTTTTCGCCGCACAAATCATCCTGATCGGAATTATATAATCATTATTCGATGAGCTAAAAAGACCTCCATTTTACAGTTTTAAATCTTTTCACTGTTAAATTGACAAGAAACCAAGCCAGAAACCTTCGTGAGTGTCTTTCGGTTTATAGACGGTAGACGAAAGTGTGAAACAAAATGGGCAGGAAAAATGTGAAAAGTTGATTTTTACAAACTTTTTGAACAAAAAAGTACACAAAAATTATCAAAAACCGACTTATTGTACCAAATTTTCCCAATTCGTCTATTAATTCTTCGTATTTTAGTTAATATTTCAAACAAATAACAGTGGAAAAACTTGGGAAATATTGCATAAAAATAGAATTGAGCAATTTTATCAATTTACTGAAAGATAACAGAGAGTTTATGGGAAAATTAGGAAAATTTCAAAGCAAAATGAACTCTCAAACTTCAAATCGCTCTACTGAAAAAATGGCGATTTTGACTTTTGATAGCCTTCGAGGCACCCGTCGAAATTGATGTATTTTTAACACTATTGAGTTTCCTTCTTCGTCCGCTGCGATCGTTGATTTCAATACTTCGTCTTAGCACTTTTTGTTCGAGTGCTGCTCAAATCTTAGCTGAGTAATTTTAGCACTTTTTAGCTGAATTTACTGCCTTTCTTTCAGCTAATTTGGCTCGCTGGGATAATATGTATATTTTTGACGCTGCGTGGATGGAAGAGGGAAAAGAGGCGGAAAAGTGTGTGTGCTGATGATATTGAGAAGCACTTGGGAAGCCAGAGAGTGTCTTCTTATCAAGCGGACATTAAAATTGTGCCACACACACCAATAAAAATTGTAATTGAACGCGACTGGTGAGCTTTGCAGAAGCTCCGCGTGTTTTAAAGTCTTTCTCTCTCTGTTCCGAAGTAAGAAAGAATGGAAATGAAGAAGAAGTATTTGGAGAAGGAGGAAAGAAAAAAGCCAAGCTCAAGTTTAATTGAAGGAAATTCGTCAATGAAGGCAAATAATTGGAATATTTTTTGTCCTTCAACTTCCGCAAAAGTGGCTCAATTTTATTGAGGGATTTTTCGGACTGTCGCAATTCTCGCCCAGATAACACACTCAATTTAATTTAATTTCGCCCTTCACTGTCTCTATGCAAAAGCTCCTCCCCCCATTTATTATCCCTGGGCGCGTAATGAAGCAATTTCAATACAAGACGACTCTTCGTTCGCGTTAATCAAAGGTGAATATTGAGGAGGGAAGTGAAGAGAGAGAGAGAAAGAAAGAATCCCGATGAATCTATTACAAAAAGCTTCAGGCATAATTGGATGCTTTTTCCCTTCACTTTCAAGTCGTTCATGTGGTTTGCAAATCCCGCTGAAAGTGTGATTAATTAATAATACACCTGTTTAGCGTGAGGATTTGGCTTTGATGGAATCCGCGTGACAGCTTTCAGTGAAAGCTACAAATTCATAATCACCGCGCGATTTTCTTAGGTGCGCCTAATCAGCGGCAAAAGCTCGAGCGGTTTACCAAACTAAACAGCGATTGTTAATCAAACAATGACACGTGCGGCTTTCCTGTTGGTAATCAGCGATTTTCACCTTGATATGACAGTTAATGTCACAGAATGAGTCCTGAAAGCGTTGCAGTGGTTGTTTGAGTTTTTAGCTCCGCCCCTTGCAAAGCCCCGCCCATTGAAATGTCAAATACTGCTGAAATGCTCTAAAAATGCCTCTTTAGTCAATGGTTAAAGAGGCATTTTATTGTGTTATATTGTCAGACTAAATATTGTTCAAATACCAGTGGTTTATTTGATCAAATACAAACAAACTCCTCGAGAGGCGGAAGAAAAGCTCTTTTATCATGTGATTATTTGCTGAGGAATGGAATGCAAGATAAATGTTTGAATAAAAATGAGGCAATGTGAAATCGAAGCAGAGTAATTGACGTATCCTGGGAAAAAAGGGAAGCTTTGGAAGCTCTCTGAAGAGTGAAATTAAATAAGAAGAGAGAGAAAGAGAAGAGAGATAAGAGAAGCTGTAAGAGAGAGAGAGAAAAAAGCTCACAGAATTAACGAATAAACGATGACTAATTGTAAGGAAGGCTGAACATCCTTTCTCACATGACAACATATTTTATGTTCAAACATATAATTTCAATAATTTCAACATGTAAAAACTTCTAGTCGTTTTAACACCATTTTAAATTAAGAGACCAGACGACGCACGAAAACAGTGCGATGAAAAATGCTTCTCGCGAGACTTGTGTTCAGGAGCGACACAGGAAAAGTGAAATAAAACAAATATATATATATATAAATTTAAAAAAAAATTATTATTAACGATGCGAAGAAGAGCGCAGAATGTGTAATTTAGAGAGCATAAAATGTGTATAATGTTAGGCAGATTAAGGCGAGAGTGTAGAGAAAAAAAGAAGAAGCAAAACTGGTGCTAACATCAATAACAAGATTAATCCTTGGGCAGAAGCACGTCCTTTTTTGCCGTCACTCTGGAGTGTTTTTATGTAAATGTTTTCCAGTCAGCACCGCGCGCTGTTGCCCAATTTGTAATTCCTTGTTTTCACGTTATGTATATTGTTTAGTTTTCTTGTTGACAATGTGAGCAGAAGAAGGAGGAGGAAAAAGGATGAAAATTTGCATCTGCATGATGCTGTTTTTCCTCCCTTGTCTTCACACAAAAACTGCATTGAATAAATATTATGTTTTATCTTTTACATTTATTATCTTATGATTGTTTTTAACAGCACATATATTTTTCCACTGTAGAATCCTTTCCTTTTTCATCCCTTAAAGAAGTAAAAAAAAAGAAAAACAAAGCTTATTATATGGATGCGTTAAAGTTGTGCAAAGAAACAGTAAAAATATTGTCTATATTGTAATTTTGTCTATAGAAAATGAATCCTTGTAATAGTTTAAAAAAAAGAAGAAAAACACAGAGAGAGAAATAATAAATGTTAGGATATATGAAGAAAAAGGAATTTATGGAATTATTTAAGAACATTGAAACATTGTTAAAGAAAGAAATAAAAAGTGTATCAAAGAGTCTTCATGACAAAGGCAGAAAAAAAGGATGGAAATAAAGATGAGAAAGAGATTTTTAAATAAAATGAAACTTTCAAACTTACCCAAGGGGGAGATACTGCAGTCAGAAGTGGTGTTCAGCTCATCAGAAGTACGTAAGAAGTGGAAGTGTCGAAAAAACTACAATAAATTCTGTTCCCGCGTGCTTTTCCCGCGTGATTCTTTGGATTTCTTTCGATTTTCACACGAAAACAAACGTAATAATCTTTTTTCTAGGTTATAACGAATCAAGAACAAATTTAGTGAATATTTCGCTTTCTAGCATATAAATTCTGCTAGTTCTTGGCAAAAATAGGCATTTGTAAGCAATTAGCAGTGCTTTTATGATCTTTTGATGCCAAGAAACACTGCAAATTGTGCTAAAACTTAACATAACCTCAAAAATAGTCATTTGGGCTTGAAAAATGTCCATTTAGACAACTTTCTGAGCAATTTTGAGTCTGAATCAGCAATTTTAAGATCATTGGCAAATCTGTAAAGCCTTCAAATGGAGTTTCTTGAGGATTTCTTAGTGATATTTTGAGGTTATGGTCGGAAAATATACCCAAAAACGCGTTTTAAAGTCGATTCTTTATGGAAATATTAAATGAAACCTCAAGAGATTAATTATAATTTCATGTTTTAGAAGTATCAAGCAACTCTGGAAGTGTTTGGAAGTGGTGTACAGATTTAAGGCATATTATCTCCCCCTTGAACTTACCTTTTGCCCAAACTAAAGGAGAACAACACTGCGTGCATTTCTTCATCGCTTTCCTTCTGTCTTCCTCTTTTTTTATGGTAATTATATGCAAACATCGCGTCCGCTGAAAGTGGAGAAAGAATGCGGAATTCACCGGTTTTTCTTTGGGGCCAAACGAAAAGACTGTTGTCTTAAACACAATCCTTTATTTCTCTTAATATTTCTTTTATTATAATAATTTTTCTTTATTATTCCTCCTCTTGCCTTCTGCCTTATATTTATAATGTAAACATTTGCCTACGTGTGGTTTCATCGCTCCCTCCGCGCCCCCTGCACACCCCCGCGAGCGCCCCCGTCGCAAGGGGCGTCGGCGGGGGTGGCGAGAGTGAGTCGACAAGTTAATGGGCTCTTTTTTATTTCGATCCCACCCATTTCTCCTCTCGACAATGTGTGTGTCCGGATTATATGGTGAATTTATTCATTGCAAATATAGTTTTTTACACACACACACACATTCTTGTACAGTGTCAACCAGACTAATATGTATAGAAAAAATGTTGGGGGAGGAAAAGGTTGAGTATAATCTTCTTCTATATTTTTTTTCTTTTTTTTGTTCTTGTATTCACACAAATGGTTCTTTTCATGCTCAATGAAAATTGTGTGTGTTCTACAAAATGCCTGTTAATATTTGTCCTTTTTATGTCTTCTTCGCCTCCCATTTTCCCAGCTATTTGTGCTCTCCACCCATCGAACTGTGGCGGCCTTTGTGTCTCCGTTGCCTTTCACGTTTGCATTGTGGCACATTCGCATTCCTTCACGCCCGCGCGCGCAACGTGAGACACTCTGTGGCCGATTGAAGGGCCGATTCTGCGAAAAGCTCGCACTGCAGCAGCCCCCAAATTATGCTGATATGTGCAGCTTGTCGTCGTCTTTCTGGCAACTTAAAGCACTCAAACAGAAGTCAAGGTTGAGGTCAAGGAGAGAATCTAGGACTTGAAAGCATTTTGTGGCCACTGTGACCAAATTTGACTCTCAAGATACGGAAAGACAATTGAAATAGCTTTCATTTGGCGCTGAAAGCATCGAAAAAGGTTAATTACTTCAGTTTTAATTCACAATCAACCAAAAAATAACCCTCCAAAGCACTTGTCAAGTGGCCAGAGTGGCCAGATGACAGATGTCAATCCCACGAACGTCAGCAGAGACACCAACCAGCCAAGAGAATGTCGTTAGAAGAGAAATGAAGTCGGATTTCAGGGCCGAAAAACACTTTATAAGAGCGAAAACCGAAAATCCGAGAAAAGTCGTTGATTTATCATTCCGAAAATGTATTTTGTGGTTATGTTTGACATTAAATTGGCAGTGATTTTTCACTTTCCATGAATCCAGAATCACGATTGCTAAATCTCTCTTAAAATTGTTTAGATAACCTAGAAAAGAATTAGGATTCTTTTTTGGGGATGAAATGGAGTCAAAATATTCAAATTATTGAATGAAAAATAGGAATAGAAATAGAATTGTCTTCTTTCATGATGAAGTGGTTGAAGTTATCGACAATTATCGACACTAATTGCCTACAATTTGCCTTCTTTTAACACAATTTCATGGAAAATAGGTTAAAATGAACAGTCAAACTTTTATTTAATCTATTTTCACTGTTCTTTTCCTCGATTTCTCCTCTGAAAATGCGCCAAAGAAGAAAATTGCACGCAATTTGTATCGATAAGTGTCGGTAAATGTCGATAAGTTCATAGGGAAAACAAACCAGCGTTGTGCTAGAATTGAATTCTGCTAAATTGTTCATAAATCTGCAGTGCGCGCTTTTCGCAAAATCGGTCAATTCACCTTCGGCAACCACAACAGTTGTTGTGCGGCCGCTTTTGAGGGCGAGTCGAGAGATCATTCGCCGCAAAATGTATGACAATTAATAGGAAAAAAAGTGAAGTGATTCGATCTCTCTCGATTCACCCTCAGTCGAGGGTTGTCCTTTTGTGTGTGTGCGAGACGCGATGAGGGTTGAATGAGAAATAATGAGTCAATCGAAGAGATTACAAGTTAACAAACAGAAAATCTCAAAACGTGTGTCGTCAGTGTTTTTTCTTCCTTTTTATAACAATTATACTCACTAATTTTCATGCTTATCTTCCTCTGCTCCTCATCTTCATTTATATAAATCTAATCTTATTACATCGTGCTTCTCTCCATCTTAACGTTTTCCCCTCTCTCTGTCTCTCTCTTCAAGTGATTTCACTAATTTTCCCTCGTTTTTTTTTTTCTTACATAATTTTTCGTGTGTTCCTCAGTGTGTTTAATAAATCTTATTATGCTGCTGTCTTTGTATAATAGAAAAAACCCTCCTCGGAGACTCTTCTTGGCTCGCAGTTTTTCTTCTCCTCGCCAAGCAACTATATATATTTTCCACGTGCGCCCTTTGAAGTGTGCTTTTTCGCGCGAAATCTCAACTTTCCTTCCACTTTTCAGCTCCTCTCTTATTTTCTCCTTCGACCTACTCAAGTAACACCCCAATTCAGTGTCTTTTCTTTCCGTCTCTTCTGCAATAATATTAAATTAATATCACATACATAGGCTGATATATTTATGTTGTTATGTCAAGAACAACTCTTCTCTCTCTCTCTCTCTCCCTTGAAACATTATCTCCACTTATTTTTTTTTCCTCTTCGTGCAACGGAAAAAGTTTAATAACCACTTTTTCATAGAGAGAGAGAAAGAATAAAAACATCATTACAATGTTTTAATTTCGCTTTTCAGTCCATCATTTTTGCAATTTTCCACCCCAAGCAGCGAATGTGCGCTTTTCCAGCATCTCTCTCACCATTTGGAGTTTACAATGCTGGAAAATGAAATAATTTCCCGTCCAAATATTTTCCTCCGCAGCGCATGACAGAGTTGAAATGCACACACATTAATTGAAACTTTCTCCATTGTTGCCGAGAGACAAGCTTTTATGATGTGTGCGATATTTCTCTCTCTCTCTCTCTGACCATCCGAAAGAGCTTCTAATTTGTGTCAATTGGACAAGAGAATTTCCCTCTGCAAAACTGACAAAATTTTCTCTTTGACACACTCAATGACGAAGCGCATGATGAATTTTTCACCCCCCGGAAAAGCAACAAAATTTCTGTGGTTGACAAAGTTTCCAAAACGCCGGGGAAAAATTCATACTCATTGCCAACACTCGTCATCGCGATTGCTCTGCAGAGTCTCTCTCTCTCTCTCTCGGTCGCCTTTCCTGCCACAGGATCTGCCAGGATGCACAGAGAGTCCATTCTCGAGTGCTGCGACAATTAAATGAATGGCGAAATTGCATGATTCTGTGAGCCATGCAAATGTGGAGCTTCATTGTCATTCCGAGCGCCGTCGCCGGAGGGAATTTAGAGGGATTTATTTTAGGCCAGAAGAATCTATCCTTCTCGCCTCGCACAGAAGGACGAATCGCAATTGGACACTTTGTACAACACGCTCAACTGACTTCCAACTGGAGTTTCCTATCAAAAAGCACATGCAGCGAACGAATAAAATGCCTAGAATGCCCAGGAATGCTGAGCTCTGTGGTCAGGAAAATCCCTTTTGAACCGCTTAAAATGACTGCTAAAATATGTTATTTTAAGGGGGTTGAATTTGAGCAAGAAAAGTAAGCAAATTTCAACCCTAAAGATGATTTTATTTGGATCACTTTGAAGATTAAATTGCAATTTAGAGACAAATTTAATGAAATTCCACAGAATGATAACTCTGCGCAAATTTATCGTGATCGTAATTCTTCAAGGGGGAGAAATTGCAGTTGGAAGTGATCAAAATCGTGCAATATTCCTTTCATGAGTGATTCTTTTACTGGCAAATTATCCAGATTCTCGGAATTTCTTTGGATTCTCACGCAGAAACAATCAAAATTATTCTTTTTTTAGGTTATGTAGCGAATCAAGGATAGATTTAGTGAATAATTCGCATTTGTGCACATCAATTTTAATGATTTTGTTCATAATTAAACATTAAAAGCGCATTTGACGTTAAGAAACGCTGCAAATTGGGTTAAGTCGAACATAACCTCAAACATAGGAAACGTTCTGGACAATTTAGACACTAAATCTGTAGCTTTTAGTCCATTTTGTACTCATAAGAGACAATTTCTTGATCGAGAAATCTTCCACAACAAAAAAACTAGAAGCATTAGAAGCCCTTCACATATTCCTATCGAGGCATAGAAACGTCAATAGGAAGGAAGATTCTGCTGACGTTAGTATGATCTCTGTTTTGGAGTAGAAAATGATTTCTTATAGATCTCTTGGTGATATTTTAAGGTTATGTTCGGAAAAGTAGTTCAAAAAGAGCAGTTTTGAGTGGATTTTTTGAGAATTAGTGTGCAAAACAGTCTGAAAATTGGAAATGCACAGATGAAAGGCATTTTATCTCTCGCTTTTAATTAACAGAATGTTGAGAAACGCAGAATCTTTGCGTTGTTTTTATTAATATTCTGATATTCTCAATGATTGTGAAATTTTACCTCAGCTTCTAAAGGATTTTCCATTATTTCTTTTCCTAATATTGTATTTTGGTGATTGTGAAAACACCTGAAAACACCTGAAAAGCCACAGAAAGTTGTTGGCAGTTCAATCTTGATGCTCTGAACTCATTAAAGCCTTTGAAAGTGGCGCAGTTTTCATGCAAAATACTATAATTGAGATTAAATTCAATTATGAGCTCAAAGTGTCCAAAATTCAGCGATATTTCGGAGTGAATTTGGAGTGTCTCCAATTTTCCGAGAGCTTCGCGAGAGCTTTCATATCAATTTTGAGGCTTTGTGCAGAAATCAATTTCATGCAGAACGCCAAGAGGCGTTCAATTAGTGGCGACAGAGGCATTTAGCACTGCAATCAATTGGTTTGATATGCAAAGAACTCTTCGTGATTCCTTCAGACGCTCAATGGCAGTCAATTGCTTCGATTGCAATGCAAATGGTAAGAGTTCTTCGGCAAGGAAAGAGAGAGAGAAGAGAGAGAGATTCGCAGACGAGCCGTGGGAAGGATGAGAGACTTTGGCACTCACCGGCGGGCGTCCGCGTAAATATAGTGTGGCTGGCGCCGGCGGAGAAGATCGCGAGCGCGCGCGCGCCGCCCGTTCAGCACATGGGGTGGAAGATCGTGGGCTGCAGGTTCTTCTTCACGCGCGGCAGCGTCTCCGAGTTGGTCTGCCGTCACACGCGCAGCTCGTCCACCTGCGCCGCGTCGCTGTTGGTCTGCTTGAGGCTGGACTTCACGGTCACGGCGGCGTCGCAGGCGTTGAGGTTGCGGCCCAGCAGCTGCAGCGTGTTGGGCGCCAGCATGGCGTTCTCCGGGAAGGACTTGAGATACTTGGGCGGCGGCGGCGCGCGCTGGCTGCCGTCGATGCAGTCCAGCGGCGGCAGCTGGTGCTGCATCACGTGGTGGTGCGTGAGGATGGCCGTGGGGTCGCTCTTCAGGTGAATCGTCGTGCCGTCCAGGTCGCCGCAGATGTTGTTCGGCACCTTCCCGTTCTCCGACCGCTTCTTGTATCCTCCGCCGCCCGCCTGCAGATCCTGCAAAGCCACGGAAATTGCTTCAGCCGCGCTAATTGACAGCATTCGGCGGTCTCAACACGATAGTTTGCGCTAAACAAGGGGCGAATGAGTGTCTTTCTGGGGCAAATTCAATTGAAATTCCTTAAGAAACACAGCAAGAATTGCTGATAAATGATATTTGGAATTGTTTTAACACACGAAATCTTATTTTCCCCTGGAGAAATCAAGAAATTACTACCAAATAATGCTAAAATTGCTGGTAATTTGAAGATTTCCACCGATCAGGACTGAAAAATCCCCCAGATCAGCACAATTATTCACCCCTCAGCGGGAAAACTTTCAAGTTATACCGGAAATTGAAAGCTTGCCTTCAACAGCGCGAAAGCACAGGGGAAATCTGAGTGTTATTGAATAAATGATAAACTAACGCGCCTTAAGTCATCAATAACAATTGATCCCTTTCGCTGTTTTCAACACAAACAACTGTGAGAGTTTAATTGAACATTGACGAATATTTGCCAACCGCAAAAACTTGCAAGAATTTCGCAACAACTCATGAGGAGCTTTCGAAGAAACTGACAAACTTTAAAGAACTGTTAAATGTCAAACAGTACAGAAAACTTTACGTGGTTTTCGTGGTTTTTCAACACAACATTGCACAGTTTCTGGGAAATGCAGATCAATTTCCCAGGATTCAAACAATTCTGCTCTCGACAGCAATATAATTACCATCATTTACCGAGTCTCTAAAAAAAAACGTGCAACCAAAATAAACTGCTCGAAAGGCTCAAAACCATTAATGTTTAAAGCATATTAATGACTCTATAATTGCGACATTTATTGTCAATTGCATTGATTATTCCAATATTGATTTGTTTTTGTTAATTTGTTCACAGGATTAGCAATTTTTACACTCTTTTTGATGAGGAAAATTGAGTTTATTTGACGTTCAGAATTATAGACGGATTATTTTCCTTTTCACTTCTTTCACTTCGTCAAAGACGGTTTGACGGATTTTCTCTAACAGATTTATGCTGTTAAATTGAAACCAATTAAAATTGTTAGCAAGAAGTGAATTTTTAGAAAAAATCAGTGCAATTTTATCTGAGCGAAAAGCGTCAATTTGTAATGTTCTACTTTCTATACCATATATTCGCCCATATCTTCCACAATTCTTACTCAATTTCTAAAAGTGGCACAGATTTGGAAAGATAATTTCATTGTCTACAACTTCTTAGAACATATCATTTGAGTCTGAACACGTCTTCACTTGTTTTTTTGAAGGTGTTTTGGTAGAACTCATTGGATTGAAATAAACATCTTTCAAAGCGCATTTGATAAAAGAAAATTCACAGCAATGTTATTTCTGGACGGATTTTCAAAAGTAATGGAGTTTTGGAAAGGTCATAAGATGACCTACAACTCTCTAGAACACTTCATTTCTCTCAGAATACGTCTTCACCTGTTTTCAATGCACTTTAGCAGACTTGCAGAACTTTCTAATACCATCTCTATGCACTAATCCACCCCAAAACCGCCCCAGAAACGAACTTCTAATGGTTTTAGTGTAAGGAATTTGTCGCTTAAGACAGCGGAAACTCACCTGCGAGCGCGTCTTGTCACGCTGATAGTAGACGCCGGCGAAGATGAGCACGTTGAGGATGAGCAGGCTGCAGCCGATGGCGATGGTGACGCTGAGCGCGGTGCTGTAGGCCGCGAAGCCGTCCTCCTGCGGCGCCGCCGTGCCCTGCTGCGCGTCCTCGGCGGCGTCGGCGGTCTCGGCGGCCGTGGCCTTGTTGGCGCGCACCATCTTGCCGTTGGCCGGCGCCGCGCTCAGGTTGAACAGCGAGAACACTTGCGTGGTGAAGATGGAGTAGTTCATCGGGCCGCGCTCTTGCGGCGGACTCAGCGGCTTAATTGTGGCCTCAGCCTCTGCCGCCGCGTCCCAGTCATCGTCCTCGAGCTGATGGTGTGCCGCCGGCACATTGCCACTGCCCGGCTTGTGCAGATCCGGCACGAGATTGAGCCAGAACGACAGACGATGAGCGCGATAGTGATTCTTCAGCTTCGGTTTCAAATCTGTGCACAAAGCGAAAAGGTCAATAAATGCAACTCCGTGTGTGTTTGTGTGCTGAAAGACCGAAAGCTCAAGTGTAATCCCAGAGAAAAGCGCCCGCCTTTGCTTTTTCCCTCCCCCTTCGCCACATCGTCAGAGCGAAGCTGGTGAAAGAGCTTCAATCACTTTTCGGACGTGGAGAAAGAGTGTGTGACAGCTTAAGAGTGACTCTCTCTCTTCTGTCCGGGAGCATTAGAAGAGTCAAAGGAGCATTAAAGCAAATCCCTTTAACTGAATTCAATTAAACCCCTGGACATAATAGTTGGAAATGAAGCTGAAAAGTGGTAAAACACTGCATTTTCCCCCACAGAAATTTCTGCTCTGTGTTTTTGACATCAATTAGCGCTGCTTCGGAGTGACTTCAAATGCATTCAAATGCCATAATTTGGCGCATCGTGAGCTTCGAAAATGAGAGTCTACGTAAATTGTTGCCACTGTAAATTATTTAATTTATTTTTCCCACCCCAAATAGCACACATTTTCACTTCTTCCCACCCAAATTATCACCATGAGCGCCATTTATAGAATATTGCGCTGCAAGCGGCGAATCAATATGAGTTTGTATTTGAATATTTTAGCCAAAGCGAATCAATAGTGTTGCGAAATATCACTAAATTTAATTTAATTACAATATTCACCAATAATATTTGACCATGTAATGTAATTCTGGGAATTTGTGCCGCGCAAACATTCCGCAAATTCAACCCTTGCGGACTTTGTCGCGACCAGAAAGCTCACCAAAAATACATGCAGAAAAGTGCCAAGGGGGAGATAATGTGGTTTTCTTCTCTGCTCTCTTCATAAATCATCGAATCCCACCAAGAATTATTCAAATTCTTACTAATGTTGAGCCAAAATGCCTTTTGGAGGCAAATTTGCATGCGTTTTAGATATTTTGAGGTTAAATTGATCAGAAATTGAGGTTATGAATGCGTCAAACGAGTAAATTATTATTTCACAATGTTTTTTTCCCACCAAAAACACCAACAATCAACTCCAATCATCTCAGGTAATCTTAAAATGACGAAAACAAGGAGGGGGTCACTTTTTTTCGTATCTGTTTGTCGTTCCGTCCGTCGTAACAAACGGGCTTGTGGGGCCTAAACGGTAAGAGATATCGACATGCGGTTTGCGGCAAAGGTTAAAAGTATGCAGTGGTAAGGAAGATTTTTTATCAAATCCAACCCTTTATCCCTCCGTCCGCCATTTTGAACATCCCAAAAAGACATTTTCCTCAATTGTTCAGCTTCTATGGCACGGATTGAGCCCAAATTTTAGTATGTTATAGCTGCCTTCAAGACCTTTCCAACGAACTGACACTTAAGGAACTAGGACCTTTCGGACACTAGATTTTAAGGCCCAAATTTTGAAACCTTAAACGGTCAAAGCTCCGCTTCTAATTAACCGATCAGAATGATTTTGTATTCATTGGAAAGGTCTTGTAAAATGCCATTTCCCACCTGAACATCATAACTTGGTAGGACCACCACTAGAGGCGCTAAAGTCGAAAAACCATTCTTGAAGTTCCAAAATTGAATAACTTGAAAATGGAATCTTGCATTTTCTTTAAATTTTAATATGTTATTTAGGAGTGGAGATGTTAAAGGTCAAAGATCAGTGTCCTTAGTATCCTTAATGATTCAATTGGTTATTTTCTGAAGGCAAAAGTTAGAGTTGTTCATGAAAATGCGCATTTTGAGTTGAATATAAAGTATGAATGGTGAATTTAGGCAAGGAATATATCATTTCTGAACACTTTTGCACACTTCAGGATAATTATTTCCTCCGTGGAAAGGCGGAGAGCGAAAGCGTGACAAGGAGTGAAAAGTTTTGGGTTGAACATACCAGATATTTACAACAAATTCAAGCTGCCACAGGCGCAAAACTATCAAAATAAATATACACATTTCTGGGCGCATGTAATATTTGAGGAGAATTTTCGAAACTGCGCACTTTGCCTGACCGCGAATTAAAAAAGAAAAAAGGAAAAAAAACTAGTCTGTAATTACGAACATTACAGAAGTTCGCACGAGAGGCGAATGGGAAAGTTGCACTCTCGAGAGCTAATTAAGTTTAAATGACATAGAATTTATGCTAAACTATAAATTTGCTCGGCGAGCCTTATTAAAATTTAATACGTAGTCAATTACATTTTGCAAAATTGACCCGCCCGTTCGGCTCTCGCCGCCCCACCGCCTCACGACGACCCCTGAAATTGCCATGCATTTAAACAATGGCATTTACGGGGGGCCGAGAAGGCGCTCACGAGGGGCGGAAAGGGCGGCGCCGCCGGCGCTCACGAAAAGCCTTTTCACAATGTGCTATACAGAAGAGATATTAAGTATTGATTGAAATTCTCACACAATAAATTGAGGAACAATTTTGCGTGCGCCAAAATAATGCCGGGTTTTCTCTCTCTCTCTCGGGCACGAGGAATTCCTTCTGATAAATTAACATCTTCACAATTTCCGGAAATTTATCCTTTCGCCTCAATTGTGTGCGTGCGGAAGCACCGAAGTGACCTTGCTCATGTTGAAACTTCCACATTTCACCCTCTCATATTAATTGATAAACGACATGGTTGTGCCAACAAGCGAACCTATAAATTACCACTCAATCATCTTTGCCAAAATATTTGCCTATCACCGCCGATAGTTTATCATTTGTGTGTAATCTTCCCCCAGAGACTGCAATTTGGCGGGCTTTTGTGGCATCTTTTGAACCCCCAAAAGCCACAATAAAGAGCCACAAATTGGAATTTTTCAATTAAAGGTTGTTAAAATTATGATTAAAAAACCACGCATTTTGCACATATTTTTGTCGCATTCATTGACCTCAAAATGCATTTTTTAAATCCTCTCAATTATGTAATATTTTTCCCAGAATAATATTAACGCAAAAAATATGAATATTAGGGGTAAATGGGGCAGCTTCAGATTTCTTAATTTTCTCAGAGATTTTTGCATGAATAAATTCCTGGTCTTCACACAATGTTTGTAGTCCTTAAGGACTACAATTGACGAAAATTTGCACAGGATAGCCTTGACTGTTTAGATAAAATAAGTGAAAATTGAAAATCACTCACAAACTAGAATTTTGCTGCCGAATTGATTGCGTGTTTTCTCCATTAAAAAAGCCACAATTCGCGTGAAACACAATCAAAGGTTATTGAGAGTTAAGTAGAGATTCTAAATATGCCCGAACTTTTCCTCCTGATCACGGCCCTTTCAGTGGGTGGTGGAAAATGCACAAACACTGCACACGGGGCAGTTTCGGATCGCCACGGACTGACAACAGCGCGCTCTGACAGTCTGACGCAACATCACGGTCGAAATTTTCTTGTGGCAAATATTGAAGATTTTTCACAAAGTGCCGTTCTGTGCTGCATTGCTTCATCACGTTAAACGACTTCTTAGTGGAAAAGTGAGAAAATACACGCGAAAATCACTGATTAGAGCAGAAATTTCGAGAAGCACATTTTGCGCGGAACTTTCGCGGCGCGTCAAGTTGCCACCACTCACGCATGGTGGCGTTGCGATACAGGAAAAATGACGGGCAACTTGCTTTTCGCTCAGAAATTTTGACAGTGCGTGCAAGGGTCCAGAAAAGTCGCGAAAATATTACTTTAAAGGCGATTTTTAGGGAATGAAACAGTTTCAGTGTGTAGATTAGAAACCAAAGTGATCATTTGCCCGCGATTCAACAATTCCACAATGGAATTTATGGTAAATATAAGTGAAAATCTAGAACTGCCCCACAGCAATCCGAAACATCCCCGTGTGGGGCAGTTTCAGATTAATTACAATATTATTTTCATTCTCCTTTAGAGGAAAAACGATCAGTTTTAATGCCCAATGAAAGGCATTTTCTGAAGCTCAACAGACGAGAGTTTATTTGAGCGTTGTGATCATTTCAATATATTCAGCCGATTTTTCAAGAAAAAATCCTAAAGTTGGAACAGCATTTTGAATCTGAAACTGCCCCACTTACCCCTAAAGCGCTAATGATTGAATGGAAAATATTATAGAAAGTCAATTGTATGGAAAAAGAATCAAATTGGTGCAAAAACATAATTATTTTCCAAGTAAAATTGCTAAATAATCAATAATTGAATATTTTCGGCAAAATACGCAAAATAATCAAAATTATAATTGAAACAGTTTCACTTATCAGCACACGATCAAATCTGCTTTTGGAAAATGCAATCGGAATTTCTACATGCCTTTAAACTTCTGAACACTCTCTTAAAATAAGAGTTCTTTCTAATTAATCATTCGCAAAGCACAGAAATGTTTTAGAATCCGAAAATTAACATTAAAATCTACTGTTTTCCGATGAAAATATTCCTTAAACACCCGAAAATTCAATAAAAATGTCTTAAGAAAGAACATTTCTTCGCTTTCATTCACACAATTTCATTCACTTGATTTGCTGAAATAATTTATGAACTCTTTTTTTTTCCTTGTCAATCTAACCCCAAAAAAAAGGTGTTTCATCGCATTTCTCCCCCTTCTTTTCACCCCTTTTAAGAGTCAAAGGGAATTTCTCGCGAAAATTACTTTTGCGGAAATGATAATTTCCGACAATTCCTCAAATTTGTGCTCCTCATTAAATTTAATCCCGTGAATCCCCAGCTGAGAAGCCCCCGAAGAAGATTATCCGATCAATTAAGACGGCAATCTTACTGTTAAAAAAAAATGCGTCTCTCTCTCTGTCGGTGCGATTAGGAAATTAACAAGGGATTCGCAAAGCTAATTTATCCTCTCACTCCGTCATTTCGATAAGAATCACGTAAATCTAATAACTTATCCCTCTCATACATGGCAATGGCGAGGAATTAATTGTCATTGGACTGGAGAGAAGTGAATTTGGGTGGCGAAAATCAAAGTCTGTGAAATCTCTGGAGCAGATGAGAATTTAATCAGGCCTTCTTGGGATGCCCGAGAACATTTTCCTGGCCTTGTACTTCTTGACAAGTCAACTTGCGGCTCGCCCGGAGACAAAACTCTCACCCCCGAAACTATGAAGCCATCCACAAGGGGCGTGATGTGGGCGAGGGTGGCGAATTCCTAAGGAATGCCGCCTCTTGTGCGGTGAGTTTGTCACCCGAGAGTGTCATAATAAAAAATTCAGTAGCGCCAGCAGGGATTTCCCGGGCGCTCCACGGAGGATTAATGCAAGTGTGGCGGGAAGAAGGCCAGTGTCGGGCTCCATTTGCTGATTTATTGGAGCTTATTTTAGAAGAAAATAATTAACTTTGGCGCGTCGCCGGAAAAGCGCGCTCGTCGTCTTAAAGTTGAGAAAATTGGGCGAGACGAGGGAGAAAAAAAGGCGAAAATCATGGCCCAAATGGACGTTCTTTTGCTGATTCAACTGGTGTGTCGGAATATTTATTTATATTCCCACTCCTTCTCCTCCTCTTCATCTCCACCCACCCCGGAAAAGTGGGCGAGAGTCGCAGCCAAGGGGGAGATAATGCCCAAATCTCTATCACTGTTTGTACATCAATTCGCCTCTCATCCCAATTAATCTAAGCTGTCTTGGCTTAACTATTTGAATTCATTACGTCACTTCTTCAAAACTCCACCGACAATTGAATTAGAAGATTAACAGACTTAAATCGTGATAAATTGTGAGGTTAAAAATCAAAAACTGAGAAAATGAAATTTTTCTGATGTAATTTGTCTTTTCCGATTTTATCACCCCGCAAATAAACTATTTTATTCAATTAAAGTAGAAAAAGTCTTAAGAGATCTTCAATAATCTTCTTCTTAGAACTTTTTTGGGATAAAACTAAGCGATAAAATTGTCTTACAACATGAAAATCGTACTCAATATAAACATTTTCATGCTGTAAAGGTTTTTTTAGAGATAATTTTGAGGTTATGAATCAAAAACACATAAAGAAACATTGAAAAATTAAATTTTCTCGAGTAAATCACCGAATTGTTTGAAGTAATCTGTCTTTCTCGACTTTATCATTCCGCAAATAAACTATTTTATTCAATATAGTTTATGTTATAGGAACATAACCTCAAAAAGTCTTAAGAGATCTTTAATTATTGTCTTCTTTGGACTTTTTTGGGATAATACTAAGCGATAACATTGTCTTACAACATGAAAATCGTACTCAATATAAACATTTTCATGCTCTAAAGGTTATTTTAGAGATAATTTTGAGGTTATGAATGAAAAACACATAAAGAAACATTGAAAAATTAAATTTTCTCGAATAAATCACTGAATTGTGTGAAGTAATCTGTCTTTTCCGATTTTATTACCCTCCAAATCAATTTTTTTTTAAAAATAAAGGTTATGTTATTCAAACATAACCTAGAAAAGTCTTAAGAAAACTTCAATGATCTTCTTTTTAGGACTTTTGTGGGATGAAACTGAGCGATTAGAATGTCTTACAACATGAAAATGAGGTTATAATAGACATTTTCATGCTGTAAAGGTTATTTTATGATATTTTTGAGGTTATGTCGAATGCAAATGCTGAATTCTTACGTGAATTCTCTTATTAAGTACCAATTCTTGCAGTTTAAGCCCAAGAATAATTCTTTTAGACATCTTATCTCATCACTCAGTCTCTCTTAAAACAGTAACATAACCTATAATTATTAAGAGATTTTTTTATACGTGAATAGATGAAAGAATTCAATGTATTTCCCTTAAATGGCAGAAAGAATCACTCAAGGAAGGGAAAATTCAAGACATTTCAACACCAACTGAGATTCCAGCAATTATCTCCCCCTTGGCGGTGGCAAAATGGAGGTGTGGCGGAGAACTTACCTAAATTGAGGAATTTCTTGTGAACTGTATCATATGGGAACCACTCGATGTTCTTTATTCGGAGCTTCTCTTGCTTGCCATCAAATAAATCTTGCTGCTCATTGGGATTTCTGATTCCATCCGATGTGAATGCGTCCGGAAGGGCGAAATGAAAAAGAATTTATTAGTTCCATGGCCGGCGGGGGTGGGAAAATATGGGCGGGAAAAAGGGCTGTCAGGAGGAGAAGTCAGGAAGACGGAATGAGTGCGGACGGGAGATTAAAATCACTGCTAATCGACGTGTCGCCGTCACTGTCCATTTCCGCGGCATTACAGCAAAAGTGGCGTGTTATTAAATTGATAATTCACGATATCACCCATGTGATAATCCCCATTTCCCCATCCCCTTCGCCGCCCTTCCGCCCGCAGCCGATGGGAAATGTTGTGAGGTTGTGGAAATGACTACGCCAGCAGATATGGATTTTCGCTCTCTCTCTGGTGGCTTTCAATTTCACGTGGGAGTTTTCATTGTTAGAATTTTCTTTTTTAGTATTTCCGCCAAACAGCAGGAACACGGAATTGACTTCGCTGTGAGTGAGAGAGGAAATGTAAAAGTGAATTTGAATGACTCCCAAGTTATAAAGCGAACGTACTTTTCCCATTTATCGTGTGTTTGTAATTGAAACTGGAGATGGGAAAATGTGAAATGAGCTTTTTTGCCCATTGATTTCTATCACAAATAATTATTATGTTGATGAGGAGGATTTTTCCGGGCTTTTTGCACGAGGATAAAAAAAATATCAATAAACTTAAATGGTACTTTTAATCATTACAATTCTCTCTCTCTCTCTCAAAAATCCAACCAGATTCAAGCCCCAGATTAATTGAAAAACATAATCTCTCTGTGGTGAAACAAAATGACGCGGAAGTTTTATTATCGCGCAGAATTTCTATAGAATTTCATTGTTTCTGAACAAATACCAGTGCTATTTTACCAACTATAAGCTCACAATCTCCGGATATCCTTAAAAACTTCTTGTGCAACTTGAAAACTATTCACACGGAGAAAAAACACATAAAATTTACTCACAATCTTCTAATGCAGAGAAAACAGTGTATTTTCCATGCGATAAGAGCCATCAAATGACTGTCAATATCTTCTAAAGTTCTTAACCGATTTGCAAAAGTAAGACAGATTTGAAAAGGTGATTTCACAGCCTATAATTCTCTAGAACACGTAAAGTTTGTCAGAATATTGCTAAGCACTGAAATTGAGTACTTTTTGCGAAAAAAACTGTCTGAACTTTTAAAGCTCTGCTGAGTTTTGTTCAAAATATGCTTCGTTGCAACTTTACTTTCATGCCATTATTAACAAGCTGTCAAAAATATGAATTCGTAAAAAGGTGTTGCAATATTACGATTCATATTATTTACAAAAGTGGAGAATTTATCTCCTGCGAGACCTGAAATGTTTCATAAAACCGAAAAATAGACAATAATGATGTTTCTATTGGATTTTTCTCGCCATTTGTGCACATTTCAATGCAACAGATTGAGGTTATGTCTTGCTGGACATTTTGCAACCCTTTCCAAGGAAACTAATTGGTTTCCAACAAGGTTTCCTAGCATTTGCAAATACATAAAAAGCTATGTTTTTATTCCATTCATTATTAAAATGCAACTGTGTTAAAATGTCACAAAAATGACATCTTCCCGGACATTCTGGCCAGCAGAATCCTTAACAGGTTTCATAGGGTAGACAGAGATGAAGATGTCTTGTCTCTGATTCACTATTTCGTTGATTTCGCTCTGTTGAATTCATTCTTCGCATTTGACAGCTGAAGTTCACTTAAATAAACTTTCAACTGCACACTAGCGCCACTAGGCGGCCGCCAATATAAGCTATGACAGGGAATGAAAGGGAAATACGAAATGTGTAAAGTTGCAACGACTCAAATATTTCAATATGCAGCAATTTAGCTCCATAATGAAATCATATAATTATGCCTAATTGTATTAACTGGAATTGCAGTTAATTTTCCAGGCAGGATTACGAAATCATCCAGCTTCGGGGCAGCTAATTTTCATTCTCCATCATTTGGTCTGAGTGGTCTGAGTGTATTTCCAGTGTAAGACAATAAATAACTGATAGTGAATGCTAATAAGACTTTAAATCAATTCCACTGGATAATATTGCATATAATCTTCTGAGGGTGTAATAATTGAGAATCTGCTCTTGTGATGGCCAATAAAACTCACTCGATAAATCAATGCCCCAAATGGGAAAGCGCTAATCATTTTCCACCTCAGCGTCTATCAATTGAATCACAGGGCGAGTGCTGATGTGACGCCGAGCAGCGAGATGGAATGAATTGGAGTGAATTTAAGGGGGTGGGGTTTGAGGGAGTGTTTTAGTCCGAGAGTTGTGATTGATGATTTTACCCGGTTCTTATGAAATTTGTCCAGTAGAGCATGACAGCCTCGGAGAGTGCGATTTCGGCTTTCGTGTAGTTTCTCGGGAAGTGACTGAAGCCGCCCACAAGTGGCGCACCGAAGACATATGGCAGGTCCTCACCATGGATACATCCCTGTCTCTGCGGGTAATCCCCAAACTTGCTCTGGTACTCGAAGACGTAGAGGAAGGAGTTGCGATGATCGGCCGAGTGGATGTTGGCCGTTTGCGAGATTGGCGCCACAATCTGGGCGTCGCTCAGCGCCTCCATCGTCTCGTCCCGGATGTTGATGGGATGCTGCACCGGCCGCTCCCAGTCCGTGTACTCATTCACGATGGTGGCCAGGATCTCGTTCAGGTGGAAGCTGTACGTGTTCTTCACGTACGTCCGCAGGATCTTCGACCGTCTGTCCGCCTCGATGCCATACTGAACGTCCTCCGAGTTGAAGGAGAAGTACGACTCGGCGCGCGTCACGCCCGTCATCAGATCATATCTGTCCAAGAGCGCGTCCAGGCCAGCCATTGAGGCACAAAAGCGCGCCGCGTTGCAAAGGAAGAGAGAGAGAAAAAGATATGAATTAAAGTCAGACGAATTGTGTACAAAAGCTCGCCCCCATTCGATTCAAAAGCTCTCTTTCAACCCACTTTTCTCACAACTTTCCTTCACATTTTGCGCCAGCGTCTGAAGCAAGGGAGAGATATCATGTCCACGAGATGTACACCACGTCATCAATGTCATAAGCAATGCTTGAATTACGAAATCCTACACAAAATCTTACCAAAAAGACGATAAAAAGCTGGATATTTCACTGAGAAATCAATCTAAAACAATGAGTTCAAAAATTTGTGAGGTTATGAATCAAAAAGCAGAGAAAAAACTTAATCAGATTCTTTAAAAATAGCAAATTTATCAGATTTTCTACATTTCTTTGTGGAATACATTAAAAATGTTCTGTAATCCTTAAAAAAAACTTGATTTTTTTAAACTGAGCACAACAAACTGAGCACAACGAATTGAGCATAGATTTTCAATATCTTCTTCTCACTTAATTTTGAGGTTAAAATGATTTGAATGGAAAGACCGAGATTTAATCAAAAATCAGCTAAAACAGTACGAAATATTTCATTAGTTGCTCAAAATTTGACAGTTTTCCCGCTCAATTGTCACAAAATCCACATTTTTCGCTATTTTTGCCTTCTTCTCATCTTCCTGCTGTTCCTGCACTCAAAATATAGCTGAAGGATCTCTTCTTTCTCACTTGACCCACTCAAGAGAATTGGTTTTCTTCCTTTCTCAAATATGACAGATTGATCAATTGAGCAAATTGAGCCACAATGAGAATATTTCTGTGCTTTTTGATGAAAATGGATTTTTTTGGAGCCAATATTCACAATTTCCGATCAGAATATCTCCTCCTTGGTTTAAAGAGCGCTCAGGCGGTGAGATAAATTTCTGGACAAATACATATCCATTTTTATGACTCTCAAATGGATATTAGCGCATAAATATCATACATTTTGCTAACATTCGAAGCCCCGGCAGAAGAAAAAAGAGTCTCTGAAGATGTAAATGGAGATTGCAGGCAAATTTGTGACTGAATTTCCCAACATTACATCGCATATTTCTCCCATCGCTCGAAGGTACATAAGAAAATATGTATAAGAGTTTTGCAATTTTATTGATATCATTCCGAAGCAGAGTGGCAGAAAACAAACCACCGCAGACAAATCGCAAACTGCGACATATTTTCTGTGGGGGTTTTTGTAAATTTTGGGGCACAAAAACAACCCTCCAGAAGAGGTCAATTTTAATACCATAAATTCAGGAGGAGTTTATAAACTTTTAATGATCATCTGAATTCTGTGTGCTGTTTGCAATTAAACAAATTTAGCAAATTGCAATATAGAATTTGTCATTTTCACCCTACAAAATCTGTGCTTAATTTTAATAATATAGTTTATAATCTCTCATCAAAACACAAGTTGTGTGTATTTGCGAATATTCAAAATAGCTGCCGAGAGTAAATTAAAGTGAAATATCAAGTGAATGGCAGACAAATTCGTTGCGATGCACACAAGGGGCAAATCACAAGGTGACTTTTAGGGAAACTTAATGTTCTCCAATGCAATAATCAATTATTTGAGTTAAATAATCAAAAAAATGATTATTTTCCCAAGTAAAACTGAAAAATAGTCAAATTATGATTTTAATAATAAATAAAAGATTATTTTCACGAGTTAAATCACAAAAAAAAATTTAAAAATTATTGAAAACAATTATTTTCCCAACTAAAATTACAAAAAAATCAAAATAACCAAATATTGAAGTAAATAATATAAAAAAAATGAATATTTTCTCATCATATTTTGAATAAAATAATCAAGAAGAAATTCTCAACTAAAATTACTTTAAAATCTCAATAATCAAATTCTGAATTAAATAATCAAAAAATGATTATTTTCCAAAGTAAAGTTGAGAAAAAAAACACAAATATTGAATGATATAATAAAAAAAATGTTCCAAAGTAAAATTGAAAAAAAATCTAATTCTAAATAAAATATCAAATTATTCAATTATATGCAAAATTTGATTACATATATTCAGAAAATAATCAAAAAATAATCCGAATTTGTATGAAATAATCAATTTTAAATCAAATATTTAGGAAATAATGAAAAAAAAATCAAAAAATAATCAATTTTAAATCAAATATTCAGGAAATAATGAAAAAAAATCAAAAAATAATCAATTTTAAATCAAATATTCAGGAAATCATAAAAAATCAAAAAATAATCAATTTTAAATCAAATATTCAGGAAACAATAAAAAATAATCAATTTTAAATCAAATATTCAGGAAATAATTTAAAAAAATCAAAAAAAATTCAATTTTTAATCAAATATTCAGGAAATAATAAAAAATAATCAATTTTAAATCAAATATTCAGGAAATAATGAAAAAAAATCAAAAAATAATCAATTTTAAATCAAATATTCAGGAAATAATAAAAAAAAATCAAAAAATAATCAATTTTAAATCAAATATTCAGGAAATAATGAAAAAAAAATCAGAATCTCGTACGAAATAATCAAAATTTGAGCAATAATCACAAATAATCGAAAAAAAGATTGAATAATCACAAAGTTAATGTTCTCAACTTGCGCAGTGATTTTCCCCTTTGATGCACATTATCGGTTGGGATTTAATGACAATTTCGGGCGGCGAAAGTAGGTCAAAACCTGAGAGAAATCTCTGTTTGGTGCTTTTGGAGCAACTTCCGTGGCACACAATTCATTATCATAAGATTAAATTACGCTTTAAAGCACCGATGAAAGTGAGCTTTGTCAGGGTGGGAAAACTCAATAAAGCTCAGTCGCTCTTCTTCTCTCAGGGTGAATTAAACAATCTTTTTTTTTGGCCTCTCTTCTCCTCGTGGAAGAGAATTAATTTGCAATTTGTTTGGGAGGCAAAGTGGAAATTTAGTGGCACTTTTGCATGGGAAAATTTTCCACGGAGGAAAATTAATAAAAGTCACCCAACGTCGCCAGTGTTTCATTGGAGGTCAAGAGCAGAATCTCTGCGACTTGACAAAGAATGTTTTAGATGAAAAAATTCTCTCTCAGTCTTGCAGAGATTTTTCTTTGTTTGTGACAAGTTGAAAAATAAATTTCAAATATCACACTTTTGACCAAAGACTTTTCACAGAAGAAGGAGAAAAAGCTCTCTTTCTCCAACAGAAACATTTCTCCTTCCCCAATTTCATGGGCAGCCAAACATTGCGTCTTACCTTGTCAATTTGCTGATTGCTTGTTTGTGCAGGAGCACAGAATTTATAATGGACAGCGTATTCCTGGGATGCTGTGTCAATTTCACCTGCGAATTTTCACCTTTGAAGTCCTCCTGGCCGGATTCGCCCGATGCCGAGTCGCCGCTGTCTAAACAATGCGAGAGAAGCACAAGTTATTCACAACATGCTCAATTTGTGCGCTTATCAACAACATAATTCATGCAACATGATCTGCATCTGCTCCAGCGACATAAATAAATCCCGCCCACACTCTGAAAATATCTTTCAACTTTGAGCAGTTATTTGTCAATATTAGAACTGAATTACGCGCGACACACAGAACAGTATCTCAACTCCCATGTGACAAATATGCAATTCATGCTGCATTTCCCGACCGCCGGAATTGAGGTGAGCACATCCGGACAAGGGGGAGATAAAACAGTGCAGAAGTACTTAAGACGTGGAAGTGTTGAAAAACCTACAATATTCCATTCATTCGTGCTTCTTTTACTGACAAATCATCCAGATTCTCTGAATTTCCTTCGATTTTCACGCAGAAACAAACGTAAGAATCTTTTTTCTAGGTTATGTAATCAAATCAAAAACAGATTTAGTGAATAATTCGCTTTCTAGCACATAAATTCTTATGTTCTTTGACAAAATGAATCATTTTCCAGCAATTTACAGTGCTTTTTTGATCCTTTGATGTCAAGAAACACTACAAATTGTGCTAAGATTGAACATAACCTCAAAAAAAATCCTTTCAACACTTGAAAAATGTTTATTTAGACAACTTTCTGGGCAATTTTGAGTCTGAATCAGCAATTTTGAGATCATTGGCAAATCATAAGAGATGATTTTGTTGAAAAACCTACAATATTCCATTCATTCGTGCTTCTTTTACTGACAAATCATCCAAATTCTCTGAATTTCCTTCGATTTTCATGCAGAAATAAACGTAAGAATCTTTTTTCTAGGTTATGTAACGAATCAAGAACAGATTTAGTTTAGATTTCGCTTTCTAGCTCATAAATTCTGCTAGTTTTTGACAGAATGAAGCATTTTCAAGCAATTTACAGTGTTTTCTTGATCTTTTGATGCCAACAAAATACATCAAATCCATCAAATTGTGCTAAGATCGCACATAACCTCAAAAAAATGTTTTGGGCACTTGGAAAATGCCAATTTTGACAACTTTCTGGGCAATTTTATGATCACTTGCGAATTTTGAAGATGGTTTAGTAATATTTTTGAGGTTATGTTGGGAAAAGATGTTCAAAACCAGACGATTTTAAGTCGATTCTTCAAGAAATATCGAATGGAAACATAAGATATTCGTTAAATTTAGATTGAGACAAATTTGGCAGTGTTTGGAAGTTGTGTAGAGATTTAAGGCATATTATCTCCCCCTTGCGTCCGGACACTCAGCAAAGCCAATTGAGCTCCAGGACATCCTCGGAGTTCATAAGGACACAAACGTGGCGCAGTCTTTGTGCACATTTCTCAAATTTCCCTCTGCATCAAAATTCAACCGGCACGAGATCACGAATGCACACCATTTGCTGCAACGCAACACCGATTTTCGTGACAATTTCCCCACTCAGCACCCACTGTGTTTTCCACCCCCTCGCGCTGGGGGGAGGTTAATGATTTTTCCCCGATTGCAGAGCTTTTATTCTCTAGCAAAAGGAAATTTTAGTCAATTTATAGCTGGAAAAATGTATTGTAACCAGATAAATATGTTGCCTAATCATGAAATTCAATCAATTTTTATCAAAAAGAGCTTAATTAGCTTAAAAAATTGCGACTAAAAATATATATTATAAATGTATCTATCTAAAATGCGAAGGAGAAAAAGCGTCCAGGCAATTATTTTCAGTTTCGTCAATATTAAACTTTCATTTCAATTTATCCAGCCAAAAATAAATTTAAAATAACCCGCAAAAGCAAATATTTTATCAGAAATATAGTGGAAAAGAGAAATTATTCATGTTTCTCTGATATTTTATTATGCGGCAGTTACGAAAAAACCCAAACGAATATTCATTCTAGTATTAAACAAGCTCCGCCCACTTTAGTGCTCCGCCCACGAACACACGTTACACTTCATTTCTCAGCAGCTGTCAGTGGATAAAAAATTCTGTATTACACACAGACATGTTAAACTTCAAACATAGCAAAATACAACAGCTAAGAATTTATTATTCATATTTTTATAAAATAAAATATATCAATGTGTCTATCTAAACACGAATGAATGCGAAAGATAAAAGCTTTCAGGCTATCGTTTTCAGTTTCATCAATATTAAACTTTTATTTCAATTTATCAGCCGAAAATAAATTCAAAATTAACCCGAAAAAAGTAAAACTTTGATCAGTAATAGTTGGAAAGAGAAATTATTCATGTTTCTCTGATATTTTATTCCGCGAATGCCATCTAAAACAGCCAAACAAGAGTTTTTTCGAATAATAAATAAGCTCCGCCCACTCAATTGCCCCGCCCACAAACACATGCTACACTTTCTTTCTCAACAGCACGGATAATGTTGTCATAAACAAGTTCTGCATATTGCTGAGCTTTTTGCCAATCCTCCGCCACTGTTGGTGGCAATTGGCGAAAAGCTTTCCGCCATTTGTCTTCCTAATTGATTCAAGGTGCACCGTCATTTTTGGCACAGCGCAGCAAACTTTTTTCTCCCTTCTTCCATGCACAATCAGACAAATTACCACGAATTTCATGGGTTTGTTCACTAACGAAAATTTATCATTTCTCACCCAGAATATCTGCAATATGCTCAGCTTTTCCACTCTCTCTCTCCCTTTGGCCCACAGAGAAATTACTCATTTTTTATCATTTTCGCCCCAAATTCGAGGCAACTTCGCGCCATTGTTCCTCAATTTTGCCTAACCATTGTGGCGGTATTTCATCCTTAAAGGACACCATTTTAAGGCACACAAATTGCCAGCAATTATTCGCGTTGTTTCACCAAAAACCATAGACGAATGGCTTGCAGAGATATTAAGTATTGCCTGCATTATCTCAACAATTTCAATGCCTGACATTGTATTTTAAAGCTCAATTGTTAACTACTGACTACATTAAATTTACAATGCCATTCGAAGAGTGGCCAAGAGTTATATGGTTTTTGTCCCTCACGCAAAACCATGTAAAAAACATCGCCTCATGACAAAGAGCACATGAAAACACGATGTAAAACACTGAATTTTCCAACTTCAAAACGACAATTAAAATTGCGAGCAAAATGCACTGACTGAACAATGACTATGGAAACAACAAATTGCACAGGAGTGAATTGACAGGGAAATTTTATGAATTGCATTTATATATTTTAAAATAAACGTCGTCCTTTGCACAAAGCTTTTCCATTTTCCCATCATTCTCTCTCGCTCTCGTTCTGTGCCAAGGGGCTGTTAATGTCAGAGATTCAGAGTCACTTGGACTGAGATGCCGAGAAAACTATGAAAAGTCGATTTATCATAGTTTTCGTCTTATGTATTTTTGCAAAGCTTTTTATTTGTTCTTTCTGTACAAGAATTTTAAGATTTGTATCTTATGAGACAATAGAAAAAAATCTTATTTATCTAAAAAGCACAAATGGAAAAAAATTGTCATGTTTTGCGAATGAAAAGTCGAATTTTCATTGTTTACGCTGAACAATTTTTCCAAGAAAAATGTCTCAAAAATTGCAGTCAAATGCATAAAACGTCTTTTAAGAAAATATTTGTAGATTTTCAGAATTATTCTAAAATGTTTTTTAGACTTTAAATGAATATTTTTCATATCTTTTAAATTTTTTCACTTGAAAACATTAAGAAAAAGTTCAATTGAAGTATGAAAAGTTGATTTTTTTGTATAAAATCGACTCAAAAACCATTAAAAATCGACTTTGAAAAGTAATATTTTCACATTTTCTATTAATTTTGCCACATTTTAGTGAAAATTTCAATAAATACCAATAAAACATTTACAAAATAATAAATACAGAGCAATATTTTCACTTTAACGAACGATTTGAAGGCATTTTGAGTATTTTGAAGTAAATTTGGCAAATTTCGCAGCTGTTTTAATGCAAAATTTTGAAGTCGCTTTGCTGAAAAATGGCGATTTTGACTTTTTATAGTTTTCGAGACACCCGTCGATTCATTCATCCCGGACAACAATTTTTAGATTTGAATCTTATCAGTCAATAAAATGGGGAAAAATTGTTATGTTTTCTAGATGAAAAGCCGAATATTCAATATTTTTTTTAAAGAAAAATGTCTCAAAAATTGCAGTCAAGCGCATTAAACGTCTTTTTAGAAAATAATTTTAGATATTCAGAATAATCAAAAAATGTTTTATAGACTTTAAATTAATATTTCTCATGTAATTTAAATTTTTTCACTTGAAAACTTTAAAGAAAAGTTGATTTTTTTAACTTGTTTTGATAAAATCAACTCAAAGACTAATAAAAATCGACTTTGGAAAATAATATTTTCAAATTTTCTCCTATTTTGCCATATTTTTGTTTAAAATTTCAATTAAATACAAATAAAATCAACTGAAATATTTATAAAATAATAAATACAGAGCAATATTTGCACTTTAACCGATGATTTGAAAGCATTTTGAGGATTTTGAAGTAAATTTGGCAAATTTCGCAGCTTTATTAATGCTGAATTTTGAACTTGTTCTGCTGAAAAATGGCGATTTTGACTTTTCATACTTTTCAATTCACAAAATTGGTCGATATTCGCAAATGATCGGATTTAATTGTAATTTATATTTCTTTTAACGAAACAGTCGAAGCCATAAAGAACGTGAATTTCATGCAAATGCCTCAAAATTTAAAGAAAAAAGACTCGAATTAAGTGTCAATTCATCAATTTTTATCTCAAATTAGTGATTATGTTAAGCTTAGAATGTTTTTCCCGTGAAAAATGAGAGTTTTCATGTTGAATTCAACATATTTCTGGCTTTTCCGTTCTTTGATTTGAACTTTAATCTTCCTTTCTTTCCTAATTCGATGTTCTGTTTTCGAAATCGTCTAGTTTGATTAGTTAGAAAAGTTAGTAGAAGTTCTGATAAGCTGAACAGTTTTATTTTCGCGCTCAAAATCCTCTCTTTCTTGATCAGGATAACGCCAGGAAGTCAAAGAGTGTGCAAATATGTGAAAAAAGGAAGGAAAAGGACGCAAAAAGCGATATTTGTAGCCTTCCAAGCGAGTTTTGTGGAAAACAAGGTGAAAAATGACATTTTGGGCTGTAAAAGGACTTCTTAAGAGAAGATTCAAACCCCAAGGATGGACTTTAAAGCTTTAATGAGAATGTTAGGAAGGATTATAAAGGAAAATGGATAAATTCAGGCGTGAAAAAAATTAGTTTTGACCACAAATACTAAAATTAAGAAATATTTTTAGGGAAATAAAGACTTTCAGCACAGGTTTAGTGGAAAAATGGTCACAGAAGAGCCTTTTTCTGTAGTTCTTTTCTCTCTAATTTATTGATTTACTACAGAGATACAGATTAATTTACGTCCTTTTTGAATCATGAAGTATTTTCTACGAACGAATCGAATCAATCTGGAAATTCCCAAATAAATTGCATCCACTCAAAATCGACATTAGCAGCCCCTTGTTCTCTGTGTGCTTTTAATTTAGAACTTAGGAGAGTGAAAAGCTCCTGCAGACACACACAGAGGGATTGGAAAGCTCTGGAGAGCATTTTCCATTTAACTTCATCTCCATGTCGAACGCACGTAATGAAATATTCACCCTCTTCCCACATTTTGCAATTAATAAACTCTGTGAACACTTTAGAGAGTGTTTAACTGTTAAGATTTTCTTCTCTTCGCGCACACTTCCAGAGCTTCTTGAGCCGCACTTTGGTGAAGAAATTGAGATTTCTCCTTTTTTTTGGGGTTTTTGTATTGCAATGAATGCCACTTGAGAATGAAAGAAGTTTGCAATTTTACAAAGAAATGCAGAAAAAAAAAGTCCTCTTGAAACTTTGCATTTTCTATTTGCGCGTCTGACACACTTTCAGGGATAGAAAGAAGGGGAAAATCTTATTAAGATCTTAAGCGGACTCGTTTTTTCTTCTTCTTTTCTCATACTCACAAACTACACACAAACTTCAGTCCAGTTCAATTGCAAAATGAGCAAAAGTTTAAAAAGCACTCGTTTTGGGGGGTGGAGAAATGAATTGATGCGACAAATGAGAAAAGTAATTGTGAAAAATTGAAAAATTAATGGGAAAATGCTTTTAAAATGCGTCTCAGAATGTAAAAATTGATCGTGTGTGACGATGAAATGCAAACTTTACTCTGTAACACAGTTATTAACTCCATCAAAGGAGTGCAAATGATAGTTTTGAATACATTTTTCCACCAATCCTTCGCATTTGAGTGCGGAATTTCCATAATTTCCAACTTGTACATGGAAGTTTTATCAGTAAAGTAGCTGAAATTGACGCTATTCTGCGGAGTTTGTCTGCGAATCAACCTCAAAACTTTACACTCATTAGCACAGACAACTTTCCCGGCGAGCGGCGGTGAATCGCTGGGAAGGTGGAAAAAGGAATGCCAAAAGGGATGGTGGAAGAGGGAGGGAAAATATTTATACCAGTACGTAAAACTGCTAAACAACTGTTGTTGTCAGAGTTCTTTTTTTGCCGTGTTTGTCGAGCCCGGATATAAGACGCGATGAGGTAAACATTCCTCATCATATACAGAAGTGCACCTCATGGGAAATTCCGAGGACAGGAAGTGCTGCTGATGTTCAGAACTGAAGCCACCACGAGAGCTTTTTAATCGATTTTCACCCCCAGCAGTTCGCAATTGACTCAATCCTCAGCAGAAATGCGAAGATGAGTGGATATTTCAGAGTCGCCACACGTTCACTTATCCTCAATTTGTCGCTCACACAGAAAGGATAAAGGAAAAAACAACTGAGAATTCCACCCAAGTTAGAGATAATGGGCTAAAAAGACTAAAAACCATACACAATTTTGGAAGAAAAATCCTGCTTAAGCAGACTTTTAAGCTAATATCTTTAAGAGCCTGGCCTAATGATAAGAAGATGTGCCAAATGACAATCAATTAACGACTTTTTCATCGAAATTTGCTGCAGATATTTTGCAGAAATTCCAAAATAAGTTTGAGGAAACTTTTCAAAAATTTACGAAGCTCATCTAGGTGAGTTTTATGTATATTTTCAGATCGATAATGAACTTAAAATATCCCATTTTTAATTGGAAATTAATTAAAAATGTCAATTAATGAAACTTTTTTAGAAATTGAGGACACAAGAATGGATTTTAAAAGCTTCAAACACAGTTTTTTGGTTCCAAGCTTTCTTCTCAATTTAATTAAATGAAAATTCCAATCAGAAAGAGTCAAGGGGCAAATCACAAGGCGGTTTTTGAGGAAACTCATAATGTTCTCTAATCAAATGATCAATTATTTGAGTAGAATAATCAAAAAATGATTATTTTCCCAAGTAAAATTGAAAAATAATTAAATTTTGAATAAAATAATTTTAAAAAATGAATATTTTCTCAAATAAAATTACAAAAAATTAATATAACCAAATATTGAATTAAATAATTAAAAAAAAAAGAATATTTTCTTAAGTAAATTTTGAAAAATTATCATATTTTAAATAAAATAATCAAAAAATTATTGTTTTCCAAATTAAAATTGCAAAATAATCAAATTTTGAATAAAATAATAATAAGAGAAAAAATAATTTTTAAAAGTAAAATAGAAAAATATTCAAAAAAAGTTTTTTTTTTCAATCAATCAATCAGAATATTCACAATTATTCAATTATATGCAAAATTTTGAAAAAATAATCAGAAAATAATCCAAATTTTGTATGAAATGATCAAAATTTGTAAAAATCAAAAATAATAGGTTATGATTTTTATTCAAATTTTGATTATTTTTTGATTATAATAAAAAAAAATCAGAATTTTTTTGTCAAATAATCAATTTTTAATCGAATATTCAGAAAATTATCAAGAAATAATCAAAATTTGAGTAATAATCACAAAGTTAATGATCTCAACTTGCGGAGTGATTTTCCCCTTGGAAAGAGTCTTTTCCAAGACAAAAATCTACTAATAATTTAAATGTGACTGAAATCTAACCGAAATCTAACCGAAATCTAACTGAAATCTAACTGACAACTTTAAAACTCAAGTTTTAAAACAATCTTTTACGATTTTCTTCCGCAAAAATTGCACTTAAGCGTATTTTTCCTTGATTATAATCCTTTAATTCAATTTTCTTTTCTATTTCTAACACAAAAACGCAACAATTTGCTAAGAAATATTGAGGTTATGTTTCACTTTGATTCGCAAAATGCGCAATTCTACCAATAAAGTGAAAATACTTTCAATTGAGACGCAAGAATTTCTTCTTTAAGCTGTAATTTAGTCTTAAATCAGTCACATAACCTAGAAAAACATGTCAAAATAAGGAAAATCAAAGATGTGAACTGAAAAAAAACTTTACAAGTTCGATTTTCTATTGCTAAGCATATTGAAAAATGGCAATTTTACTCAATATAAGCTGGAAAACCTGCTGAAAAAACACAGTTGAATGGCAAAAACGGTGCTTTTCAACGCAGAACTCAACATTTCATGACGGAAAAGTGTCATAATTAACTCTGAGAGCTTTAAGAGCTGCTTTAGGGTAAAGATTGTGCAATTTGAGCTCACCTATGACCACCCCGTCGACGGTGGGCCCGAAGGAGTTGCTGAAGTAGGACGAGCGCACCGGCGTGGCCAGGAGCTCGGCCAGCGGCTTCTCGCGCAGACACTTCATGAGCAGCCCGTGCGGCAAGTCCGGCGAGCACTTGACGTGGTGCGAGACGATGGCCGCCTGGCGCGCCGGGTCGCCGACCAGCGACCACGGCGCCAGGCCAGAGCCCGACATGAGGATGGCGCGGTGGAACAGCAGACCTGCGGAATGCAAAGAGGAGAGACTCTTGAGCGGGGATGAAAGGAGATTAAGTTACCAAACATTTAAACTTCTCGACAAATTGGGCGGTTCGCACACCACGGATTACGAGGTTGGAGAGGAATTAAGCTGAGCTTTGGCCTAACTTTGCGCTTCTATTTCAAAATTTGCGCCACTTCCCCCACCCCAAAAACTGCCATGACAAATATTGAAATTGGCAGAATTGAGAGCTTCGGATATCAGTTTGCCATTGGGTAAATGATAGATTACAAATTCTTCACTCTCTCTCACTCTCTCTGTCTGAATGTATACAAGCAGACAATTTACAGTGCAAATGGAAAAGTTTCACATCATAGCCAATATGCGAGAGCTTTCTGAGCTTTCCATATTTATCAAGTCAAGGAGCAAATATGAAAAATCTCTGTATCAAATTGTCTTCTTCTTCTCTCTCACTCACTATCTTGGATGCGATATGAAAAAGGCTCATTTCCATGGCAATATCGCAAAAATGGAGGTATGACATGAGATTAAGGATTTTCCGTGCAACCGCGTATCAAGACACATATTCCAATGTATAATGTGGAAAATTCTCACAATGAGCAGCAAAAGTGTCACCAAATTCTCGTGTCGCCCTTAAATTTATTTCATTCTACACCTTCTTCAGCAAAGAGTCAAGATACAGAATAAATGAGGCGTGGCTTAGAAATAGGCGGAGCCTATTGTACTTTTAATAAACTAAACTGAAAAGCATTCTCATTCATTCGCAGTAATCGCTTTGCTGCAAATCTTTTACCGAAAATAGAACAGAAAACTTATAAAAACAATATTTCATAGATCTAAAATGCAATTTTGAGGTTATGTTTGACTTTACAAGGTGTGTTTGTAAACTATTTGGTGGTTTTTTTTTTGGTTATAAAGCCTTACAAAACCAGCAAAAATGAGTGGAATGAAATAAAGTGGGAGTGGTATAGAAATGGGCGGAGCCTATCTTACTGTTTATTACCTTATAGAAGATTAAACAGATAAATCTTGCGTAAAATTTCAAATATTTTACCAAAAGCAGATCAAAAACCTTATTAAAACGAATATTTTATAGATCTAAAATGCAATTTTGAGGTTATGTTTGACTGTACAAGATTATAGAGTGTTTATGAACTATTTGATGGTTTTTTAGTTACAAAGTCTTACAAAACCAGCAAAAATGAGTGGAATGAAATTAAGTGGGAGTGGAATAGACATGGGCGTGGCATAGAAATGGGCGGAGCTGAATGAAAATTACACAAATAACAAGAAATACTTTAAATACACTAAATATTTGAGCTGCTAAAAGCGCTTTTCAACTTGCAATGATGCTGTGGAGACACTTTTGCTCGTGTCTGTCGCACTTGGACCAGAAATTGCTCGAGATACTCAGTTTTCTGGCATTATGGGCATTATTCAAATCCCGTGAGACGACACAGAGTGGCAGGTTTACAATAAAAATCACTCTGTAAGTTGTGCTGAGGAATAAAACCCACCATAGATTTGAATACATTGCTCGGGAATCATATCATTCATACACTTTCAAATCATGTCCGTCCCTTATTCATAACCCCGGACTCAATGGACTTGTCTTGCCCAGGTCGGGGTGGAAAATAAAACTCTCTCGCTCTCGCTTAACTCTGTGTGTGGCAAAAAGTGAAAAATGAATTTCCTGACCGAGTTGACATTGTGCGAACTGCGGAAATTCAGTGAGCAAGAATAACACGAGTGGAAGTTTAAATATTCAATTTTGAGCTTTGGAATTGCAAAATCGATTAAAGTGTGGAGGTGTTCCTCGTGCAGAACTATTCCACCATGTCATGCGACCGGCCTTTTTCACCCTTCTCTTCAGCTCCATGTTTGGGGGTAGAGCAATTCATCATAATCTGCAGCGCAGAGAACGCAAAATTGTGCGAACGAGAGAGAATGGGTCGAAATGTTTAATCTTCCTCCTTAAGCATGGTGAAAGTTCAAAAATTTCGCCCTTTTCTCCCCACCACGCAAGACGTGCGGGGGTGGAAAATCTCTAAAATACATTTAAAAGTTTCTCCATTACATAAATACAACGACTCCACGGCCATGTATACATTCGCAGAATGGCTGCGGAAAGCCCCAAAAGAGACATAACTATACGGAGGGCGGGAAGATTCTGCACAAGAGTGAGAGAGAATTCCAGGGGTGAATTCTTCAGTCATAAATCTGCCCTTCTGTGCGTCTTGTTCATGGCACTTGACATGGTATCAATTAAGGCCAAGGAGGAGATAATATGGCTACAATCCCTACACTTTATCACACTTCTCTAATTTCTTCACGAACTTCGTGAACCTCTTGCGGAACGCTTTGAGATTTGCAAACCAAGAAAAAGAAAGAGTTTCTGAGAATTTTATATTAAAATTTTGTCCATAATATTCAAATATTTTAACTTTTAATTGCTTTTCTTTTGAGTTTTGCTAAAAAGTAGTGAAATGAGTTCATTTAACTATTTCTGTGGCTCAAAATTGTGGATCTTAACCCAAAAATAGATTAGAAACTACAATTTTTGAGGTTATGTCTGACTTTGAATAAATTTGGACGGATTTTAATCAACCAAAGAAACATATTTATTGCTAATAACACGTTAGAATGATTATTTGTGAACTTCTTAGTGGTTTTCTGTTCACAAAGCTTTACAAAAATTAGTAACATAACCTAGAAAAGCGTTTTTCTTCATCATATTCTATCAAAAATCAAATTAACTTTAAAAATGTATCTCATTGTTCAGAAACTAGCTTAGAAAACAGATCAAAAATGAATATTTTCCAAGTCTAAAAGACAAATTTTGAGGTTATGTTTAACTTTAGACGGGTTTAAAGAGTTTCCAATCGTTTAAAGATCTATTATTGTTGCTAATAAGACGTTAGAATGATTATTTGTGGACTTTTTGGTGGTTTTTTGCCTAGAAAGTGAGCAGAAATGAAGCTTTTGGGGATGTTCAGCGATATCTCCCCCTTGATTGGGGCTCTTCGGGGGCGGAAATGAGGCTTACCTTCGGGTACGGCGCTGGAGGAGATGAGGAAGTGCACGCACGCGGCGCCCGTGCCGTGGCCGGCGAGCGTGACGCTGCCAGGATCGCCGCCGAAGGACGAGATGTTCTCCTGGATCCAGTGCAGCGCGGCGATGATGTCCATGAGGCCGTAGTTGGCGGGCGACTTGAGGTATCGATTGGTGTTGGCGTTGAGGAAGCCCAGGATGCCCAGGCGGTAATTGATGGTGACAACGAGGATCTGCCCGAAGCTGGCCAGCACCGCCCCCTCGTACGGGTTCCCGCTGTTCCATTCATACGACTCGCCGTGCACAAAAACCATCACTGGATACTTCATTGGTCCCTTGTCAGCGAGCTTCGTGTTGGACGCTGTGCATGAGAAACGAGGGTGGAAAATCAGGGTGAGAAAATTTCATCAGCCTCGAAATCGGCATTGGCGCGAAGATTCGCATGAAAGTTTCAGTGAATCTTGTCGCAAAGTTTTCAGGACCTTCTTCGTCCGCACTGTTTGTGTGCGCGCACACGAAACTTTGTCATAATAGTCGCTGCTTGAATATAAATTTAAGGAGAAACAAAATTGATCAATATTTAAGAACATGTTGTTGATGTTTGCACAGAGACACTTTTACGACGTGGCGCGCAAAACACTGTCGGCGCTTTGTCAGCGTGCAGAATCTAGATTGGCCGCCAGAGTAAATTTGATGGTTTTAAGCCATCTCACGTGTGCCATTAGCACTAAAAACATGTTAACATTTCATGCCTGCCACCAGAAGCAAAAGCGCGCGCCCGAAAATCACTGAAAACTTAAACAGCTTCGCGCCAATGAATTGCTAACGAATTACTGCGCAAAACTTGTGCGAATTTTTCCCAGTTTCGGACAAAGCATAACTTGTTTAAAAACTCATTTATGAGAACTTTGATGAAGTTGCCCAGAAACACATTTCATACACTTTGCACACCAGCCAGAGCGCGAGAGTCTTAGAAAAATTAGCAACTTTTTCTCTCTTTTCAAGCAGCCAAAGACGAAGAATGTTTGGTGGATAAAGGATTTTCTTTGTGCGTAAGAAGGAATCTCTGGTGATTTCTTGGAATGTGATAAACTTAAATATGAAGAATTAACAACACTTTTAGCCTGATTTTCTGTCTTATTTTAAGAGAAAATTTCCTTCAACGTTCGCGACTTGAATTGAAGCAGAAAAAATGTGATAAAATCGAAATATGCTTTAAAAATATGTATTATTGATTCTAATTCTGTTTGATATTAAAGTGAAAAATTTACCTGTTGATTGAAATACTTTAATTTCTCAATTTGTAGTTAAATATTCTGTTCTTTGTCAAAAAAAACACAAAGAGTTTGAGATTATTTTAGCTGTCTTTCTATGCGAGAAAAAAGATTTTTAAGGATTCATTTTAATTCTAGTCTCTTCTTTAAAATAAACCTTTTTCGTCATATAAATAAGAGTTTTAAAATATACTTAAAACAGAGCGATTTCTTCGTGAGAATTAAATTGTTTCTTATCAAAAAAAAAGACTTAATTTTGGAAAAATCGTCATAAAATCAAGTGTTTATCAAAAATATGACTTTTAATCTGTAATAAACATATTTATCTTCAAATTTCTTTGATTTTAATATTTTTGGATGCAAAGATGTCTTGAAATAAGCAAGAGGAAAGTCACTCGCAAGTTGAGACCATTAACTTTATGATTATTTAATCATTTTTATGATTATTTGTGATTATTAATCAAATTTTGATTATTTCATACAACATTTTGATAATTTTTTTTATTTTTTACTGAATATTTGATTAAAATTTGATTATTTTCTGAATATTTCATTAAAAATCGATTATTTAATACAAAATTTTGATATTTTTAAATAATTTTCTGAATATTTGATTATTTTTTGAATATTTTTGATTCTTTTTTGAATATTTAATTAAAAATTGTTTATTTTATACAAATTCTGATTATTTTTAAATTATTTGTGATTTTAATTCAAATTTTAAATATTGTTCAATTTTACTTGAGAAAAAAATCATTTTTTTTTAAATTACTTAGTTCGGAATTTGATTATTTTGATTTTTTTTTTGTTATTTGACTTTCGAAAATAATAATTAATTTTTTAATATTTTGTTTGCGAATTTGTTTTTTTTTGCAATTTTACTTTAGGAAATATTAATTTTTTTTTGTTATTATTTTATTCAATATTTGATTATTTTGCAATTTTTTTTTGGAAAACATTCTTTTTCTGATTATTTTATTCAAAATTTGTGTTTTTTTTTCAACTTTACTTTGAAAAAGGATCAGTTTTGGATAATTTTTTTTTTGAATTTGATTATTTTTCAATTTTATTTGAGAAAATATTATTTTTTGATTATTTTACTCAAATAATCGATTATTTGATTTGAGAACATTGAGTTTCCTCAAAAGTCGCCTTGTGATTTGCCCCTTGGAAATAAGTCAAGAAAAGCTTAATCTTTGTCTTTTCCTTTTAAAATCGTAACGAAAATCTATCGTTAATCGGTTTTCAACGTGATTATTCTTGGATATAATGCCAAAATCGACTTCTTTTGAGCCCAATTCTTCTCCTCAGTGTGGAAAACAGGAAGATTTCGAAGTGTTTTTCACGATTCACTTTCCCTCCGGCCAATTTCCCAGTTCGGCAACACTTTGGCTTTCCCACTGACCACAGCAGAAGTCGGACAGCGGAGGAATGGCAGTGAATTTTCACAAATATGTACATAGTTGGGCAGGAGAAGAGGGAAAAAGTGAAACAATCAAGGGTATCGGCAGGAGTGGGTGGGAGTCTCTTAGCCCACCCACACACCCGAAGCCATCATCTTGTGAGGACGTGAATAAAAGACGACGGCGAAGGGCATCAAAGCAGGAAATCGTGCGAGAGAGAGAAAATAGCGTGTGGTTGCATGAATCTATAAGAAGGGATAATGATATTTTGCCAACGATATTTTGGATATTTCTCTTCTCTCTCTTTGGGAAAAACCGAAAGGCAGAAACTGCTCAAGATAATGCAAAGCTTCTTATGTTCTCAGCCAAACTCAGCGCGTGTGAGGTGAAAATGTTTACATATTCAAATTGCTTTCTCTATCTTCACTCGCACTTCAATATGGTGTGTCTGTTTCCATCGCTTTTTCACGCTATCCTTCATCAATGTGTTTTGCCACACAAAATGCTATCAGACCGTGTGAAGAGGCCTTTTTTCATCCCTTGATTTCCATCATTTTCATCATCAGACACTTCACTCATTTGCACAATTTCGCTTTGCGTCTCTGCGGGAGGATTTCGTAAATACAAAATGAGTCTCATCACTTTCCGCACATGCACAAGGGGGAGATAATGCGGCTACAACTTCACCAGTCCTTAAAACATCCCATTTTCTACCTCTCTATCTGAACTTCATAATCTTTCCCAACCGCCTCAAGTATCATAACCTCAATTTTAGGAGTCTTTAACCTAAAAAAAGACGCAATTTTTGCTTTTATTAGCCTGAAAACTTGCGGAAAAATAGTAATAAGGAAGTATTTGAAGTTTCCAGTGGTTATTTTGATGTGTTTCAAGTTTCAAACGATCTTTTAGATACACTTTGGATCATAACCTAAAAATTATCTTACGATATTTCAAAGAATCCTTGGAAGAAACTTATTCGGAATGTTTTTTTTCTGATTAGGAGCTGAAATTTGCTATTTTCGAGTAGAAAATCAATCAAAAATCTCTTGAAATAGACAATTTTGTATCTTTAAACAGTATTTTTGAGGTTATGATCAATCTTAGCAGAATTAACAGAATTTATCATTGAAAGCTAGTGAAATTCATTAGATAAATGCAAATTAAATCAAATTAGGTGCAAGAATGAAAGATTTTGAAGGTTATTCAGTGGAAAAGTTTGTCCTAAATTCACAACATAACCTAGAAAAATGTAAAGAACAATTTTTTCTCCAATTTATTGCGTTGATTCCTTTTTAATGTGACTTTAAAACGCACGAAACACTTCCAAATACTTCCACTGAATTTTACACCACTTCTGACCACGATATCTCCCCCTTGAATACACAAACAACAGAGGAAAACCCATGAAAATTAGGACAAGAAAATCATTGCGCCAATCAATTCACATATTAAATGATAATCAACACGATTTTCACACTCAAATGGCGCTTCGTCAATAAACTTTAGAGACACACTAATGAAGTCGCTGTTTAAAATATTAATTACACTGATTAGTAATTACAACAGCACACGAAGCATGCGTGCGTTGCATATTGAAACTTTAATAGACATTTCACTCTGTTTTCCCGGCTATCTTTGGCACTGAGAGTGATGAATTTCTGACAGGCTTTGAAAAAAGCGATCAATTGAGAGCTTTTTTTTCTCACGCTGGATCAATTTATTTTCCCGTCACATAAAAGCTCTCTGCATGTTCTTTGATTACATCCGAAAAAATTAAAGTGAAGCTTTTTGCCACTTCAAAAAAAAAATATGCGTGAAATGTGAAATGACATCATAGGGAGAAATATCTCTGCAAATTGCAATAACTTGATAAATTCATCCTCCGTTTTTTTTTTGCTTTTATGGCAATTCTCATTGCAAAATATAAAATTGCAAACTTTCCTTTTGATATGAAATATTTCCACCAACATATTATAAACATCCGCACATTTCTCCTTTTTCTTCCTCCTAGGAAAAGTCAAGGGGGAGATAATACAGTGCAGAAGCACTTAAGAAGTGGAAGTGTTGAAAACCCTGCAATATTCCTTTCCTGAGTGCTTCTTTCACTGACAAATCATCCAGATTCTCTGAATTTCCTTCGATTTTCACACAGAAACAAACGTAAGAATTTTTTTTCTAGGTTATGTAACGAATTAAGGACAGATTTAGTGAATATTTCGCATTCTAGCACATAAATTCTGCTAGTTCTTGGCAGAATTAATCATTTGCCAGTAATTAACAGTCATTTTTTGTTCCTTTGATGCCAAGAAACACTGCAAATTTGTGTTAAGATTGAACATAACCTCAAAATTAGTCATTTAGACTTGAAAAATGTCAATTTATAAATCTTTCTGGACGATTTTGAGTCTGAATCAGCAAATTTAAGATCTTTTGATGTTTTTGTGATCTCGAAAGCTTTCAAACTGAGTTTTTGAAGATCTTTTAGTGATATTTTTGAGGTTATGATCAGAAAAGATGACCAAAAACATCGGTTTTAAGTTGATTATTATAGGAATATTGAATGGAAACCTCAGAGATTGATCATAATTGAGGAATGTTTGTGGAAACAGTCTAAAAACTTCGAGATTCTACAAGTGTCAAGATTTAAGGCATATTATCTCCCCCTTGGGAAAAAGTATCATTTTATATTCTCTTCCCTACAAAGTCAAAGTGAAGCACTTTCCACTCATGAAGATACGAATATATTATATTTAAAAATATTCCGAACATTCGCGAATTATTTCAATATTCATCAAACTCGTCTCTGTTGCTCTTCATTATGGAAATTTTCAGTGACTTGAAAGTTTACTTGCGCGAACTTTTTCACTTGCATATTTACAATGAAGCTTCTTTGACATAAATTATGCACTCTGTGAAATTCACTTCAACGGAGTTGAGTTATTTTTAGTTCTTTATTGATGATATAATTAAACATCAGTCGTTTTTCTTCCTTCACAAACTTCTGCTGAGTCTTCTTTAAAGGATGAAAAAAAAAAATTGTGCCACAATTAGCAGTGATCGTAGATTGAATGAATATTGAGGGACTTTTTGTACATCACCTCATGAATGTTCACAAAGGCTTCACACAAAAAAAAAGAAGGAGGAGAAGGAAAAGGCGAGGAGGAAGGCAAAAAGGATGATATTGAATTAAATCCAATATTTGATTTGAATTCAATGGGAAGAAGAGGAGGCGGAGAAGGAGTGTAAAATTGACTGAAAGCAAATACTTGGACTGTTTGAGGAAAGGTAACCATCGGTCCGCTGGGGTGAAAGTGGATGAGAAAGGCGTGGGGGGCGTGGGACGTTGAGGGGGGGTGGAAATGGAAAAACTATGGCAAAGAGGAAATTGCGATGAAATTGATGAAAATTAATAAAGACTCTCTGCTGCTGTTTTTTTCTCTTCCCAATCTCACTTCTCGCTTCTGGCCATCAAAGCTGCCCCCATTTTCCACCCTCTCTCACCCTCTCACCCTCTCGGCCCCTTCTCATCCACCGGCACAGATGCTGTGGCTATGTTTATGTGGCTATCTAGGTGTGGCGGAGGAGAATAAAGTGATATATACTCACTCAGAATGGGAGCATAAATGTTCAGGTAGAGACAATCCTCTGATTGATTTTGCAAATGCTGAAAGAGTCTCTTGAGATACTCCAGCCGCCCCTTCGACATCCTCTCCAGCGCTGCTGTTTCATTTTTAATATCGGGCAATCTCTGTGGACACACTGGACCAAATCTGCAAAAGGTGGCAAAGAAGGAAAAAAAAGGAAAATCATTTATTTTTCTTCCACACTTTCCGTCCTTTCATGCTCAAAACCTCATGCATTCTAGATATCCAGAGAAAGAGAGAGAGAAAGTACACTTCTCTGCCCTCATTCCGGGAGCACAATTGCAAGGGGAGATAATATGGCACAAATCTGTACACCTCTTCCTGGTAATTCCACCAATTCTTGCAAGAAAAATCCCCAAAGCTCCTCAGCAGTAACTGAAAATCGACTGAAATCTAACTAAGAGACTAAAAATGGCTGTTTTCAGACAGATTTTATGATTTTCTTCCTCTAATTGCACTTTTTCATACCCTTTTTCACCATAAATCATTGATTTTTATTGTTTTTGAGTTAAAGAATGTCAATTGGGATTTTTCTAGCTCAAAATCGACGGGTGCCTGGAAAACTATAAAAAGTCAAAATCGCCATTTTTCAGCAAAGCGAGTTCAAAATTTTGCATTAAAACAGCTGCGAAATTTGCGAAATTTACTTCAAAATACTCAAAATGCCTTCAAATCGTTCGTTAAAGTGAAAATATTGCTCTGTATTTTTTATTTTGTAAATGTTTTATTGGTATTTATTGAAATTTTTCACTAAAATGTGGCAAAATTCATAGAAAATCTGAAAATATTACTTTTCAAAGTCGATTTTTAATGGTTTTTCAGTCGATTTTATACAAAAAAAACAACTTTTCATACTTCAATTGAACTTTTCCTTAATGTTTTCAAGTGAAAAAATTTAAAAGATATGAGAAATATTCATTTAAAGTCCAAAAAAACATTTTAAAATAATTCTGAATATCTACAAATATTTTCTAAAAAGACGTTTTTATGCGTTTGACTGCAATTTTTGAGACATTTTTCTTGGGGAAAAATTGTTCAGCGTAAACAATGAAAATTCGACTTTTCATTCGCAAAACATGACAATTTTTTCCATTTGTGCTTTTTAGATAAATAAGATTTTTTTCTATTGTCTCATAAGATACAAATCTTAAAATTTTTGTACAGAAAGAACAAATAAAAGGCTTTTCAAAAATACATAAGACGTAAATTATGATAAATCGACTTTTCATAGTTTTCCATTCACCCGTCGAAATTAGAGCTTTTAGATGTAAAATTTGACGGTATTTTCACCTTCAGCATTCATTTATTACAATTAACATTCAGGATGATGATTTTCATTAATTGAAAATGCGTCAATATACTAAATAGTTGACACAATTTCATTGAAATGGCAGCAATTTCTATTACATAATGTTATTTAATGTCAAATAAGTCGCATAACTTAGAATTAATATTAGAGCAGTAAAGTAAATATTTCAAATTCTGAACAGACTATCTCCCCCTTGCACAAACACCCGCACAACACAGCACAGGCGGACAAGGAAGTCTCACTCCTTGGCAGGACCCTTGTGTGTTGGCGCAACTTTTAGTTAGTGGATTATCGAAAGTAATTACATTGAGTGGCAGTGAGAGAACCACGTTTTTCTCCTCAATTTGATTGATACCGAATGGCAGCCAAAGACAGCCTCTTTAGCCCCGGCCAAGATATATTGGCCGCCAATGGCGCAAGGCGGCGCAAATTCACACGCACAACACTCACACCTTTCGCGCACGACTCGAATAATTGCGAGCTTTTTTCACCCCGTGAATCACTCGCAATATGTTCTCGCCTATGCAAATACGCCTCACGCCTGAGCTTCGTTATCCTTTTTTCACGCATTGCTTCCGTCTCCACATCAGTTCGACAAATTGTTTGTTCCCCCCTTTTTATTCTGGATAATTTTTTATTCAAGCATCACCCACATCCCGAATAACAAAACACCAAAATCTCTTTTTCCTTCCCTCCCTTTCGTGTGGCCAGGGGGGGTGGAAAAGGGTGGTAAAAGTGCGGAGAGAATTTTCATACGCACAGGGATAAATTTAGTCTGACAGAGTGTGAGAGAAAGAGTAAATAAAATATATAAATAGGGGTAAGTGGGGCAGCTTCAGATTCAAAATGCTGTTCCAACTTTAGGATTTTTTCTTGAAAAATCGGCTGAATATATTGAAATGATCACAACGCTCAAATAAACTCTCGTCTATTGAGCTTCAGAAAATGCCTTTCATTGGGCATTAAAACTGATCCTTTTTCCTCTAAAGGAGATTGAAAATAATATTGTAATTTATCTGAAACTGCCCCGCACGGGGATGTTTCGGATTGCTCTGGGGCAGTTTCAGATTTTCACTTATATTTACCTTAAATTCCATTGTGGAATTGTTGAATCGCAGGTAAATAATCACTTTGATATCTCTTCTACGCACTGATACTGTTTGATTCCCTAAAAATCGCCTTTAAAGTAATATTTTCGCGACTTTTCTGGACCCTTGCACGCACTGTCAAAATGTCTGAGCGAAAAGCAAGTTGCCCGTCATTTTTCCTGTATCGCAACGCCACCATGCGTGAGTGGTGGCAACTTCAGTGCCACCACAAATCAAATCAGTGCAAATCAGTGATTTTCGCGTGTATTTTCTCACTTTTCCACTAAGAAGTCGTTTAACGTGATGAAGCAATGCAGCACAGAACGGCACTTTGTGAAAAATCTTCAATATTTGCCACAAGAAAATTTCGACCGTGATGTTGCGTCAGACTGTCAGAGCGCGCTGTTGTCAGTCCGTGGCGATCCGAAACTGCCCCGTGTGCAGTGTTTGTGCATTTTCCACCACCCACTGAAAAGGCCGTGCCAAGGAGGAAAAGTTCGGGCACATTTAGAATCTCTACTTAACTCTCAAGAACCTTTGATTGTGTTTCACGCGAATTGTGGCTTTTTTAATGGAGAAAACACGCAATCAATTCGGCAGCAAAATTCTAGTTTGTGAGTGATTTTCAATTTTCACTTATTTTATCTAAACAACAAAAGCTATCCTGTGCAAATTTTCGTCAATTGTAGTCCTTAAGGACTACAAACATTGTGTGAAGACCAGGAATTTATTCATGTAAAAATCTCTGAGAAAATTAAGAAATCTGAAGCTGCCCCAATCTGAAGCTGCCCCATTTACCCCTAATGTAGAAACATTGTTTGAATTTGCACAAATATTTCGTGCGAGTTCAGGCAACCTCAATGAATGACGCGCAATGGCCCCATTTTGGTGGTGAAGCTTCACCCAAAGTCAGTGACAGAGTCACTTTTGCTCCATTGCAAGGAGAAGAGAATATATTAAGAATTCTCCGAGGCTCCGCCCCTTTGCAAGCCCCGCCCAGAGTCTACAGCAAAACGTTGAAATTGCAGCTAAAATTACATAATTTCCAGCCCAAAATGGATCGATTTAATCCACCCTTTTGCTGTGCATTCGCTACGCCACTGTTTTTCACCAAAATACGCGCCTTTGGGGTGGAAATGCAGGGCTCCACCCTGTCGAAATGACACAGCACGGCAGAATTACATAACATAAATCCCTCATTGAACAACAGAGCACATGATAAATGTGCGAATGACAAATGTGGAGCAATGATTATTACAAAAATGTTGGGAAAAATGTTAAAGGAATTTAGTAAATTTCACTACAAATTACCAAATTTGTGTGCCTCTCATGGGAAATTTGACAGTAAATTACGCTGAAATATAATTCAAATTTTTCACAATTTCCTCTCTGTCATTCTCCCCTTTTTCCCCATCATTCTTCCAACCCCCCCAGTACTATATATCCTTCATCATTCGCGAGTGCGCCTTTCCACAACATCGCCCAGATGGTACAAAGGAGCGCGCCAGCCCAAAAGTGCCATGACATGATATTATCGCGATGAAGCGGGGGTGAAATTAAGGGAATTTGCGGAAGGCATAAAGTTTCTCACGACTGACTCTCCGCTGGAGACACACAAAGTCAGTGTGGGGGTGGTTTTAGTGTGGGTGGATTTTTTCCAGAAAAAGAAAACACCATACCATTTTTCACAGGGGAAAAAACAGAGCCCAGAGGTAAATGGATAATTTTCCACATCCCTTGTCTTCTGCACTGTTGAACTTGAGGTGGCGGAATCTCTGCCTTTTTATCGGTGAGAGTTGAGAAAAGCTCACAGCAAAAGGGGAAGATATTTTGTGACTATAATGGTCTGAAACTGTCTTCTGTGCACATTTACGACATTTAATTCGCCAAAGCTACCTTGCAAAACAATTTGCGCAGTATTTTAGATGTTTTCAGTGCTTGTTTTTTAGGTTATGTTGACTAAATAACCTCTAAAAAAACAGGTATTTTGAGTCTAACTTTAAAAGAATAACATTTATAAGCTCAATTGAGTATTTTCTCTTGATTTAAGTGGCGATTCTTGAAGTTCTGCGTAAAAACCTGAGATAAAATTGAACATAACCTCAAAAATATTATCTCAATCTGTGATTATGTTCAGTTTCAGTTCACTATCAAGTCGCATTGCATTGATTTATCATCTATCTTTGATTTTTGAAGATTCTCAACAAGATTTTAAAGAAATCTATCCATTTTATGTGAGGTTATGATTGAAAAATATCTAAAAACAACGATTTCAAGTTAAAAATTCAAGTTAAAAGAATGTTTTATAGCATAAAACTCCATTTTGTATTCATTCTTTTAGCTTCATAACCTCACAATTTATTAGAAAAAAGATCTGAAAATGAGGGAAAACTTAATTTGAAGTGTTTAAGTTTTTCCTATCTCATCTGCATTCTTGACTGAGGAGTTGCTGAAGGAGTTGCTGATGTGCGCCAAAGTTTTCCACCCCAAATTTTAGTGCATAAAACTCATAGAGCCACAGAATTACCAGTGAAAGCGACAATGCAATGAGGTCATCCGCGTGTCTCTCTTGAATTTTGCAAAGTGTGCCAATCTGCGAATCATCAAACACACTCACAACCACCCTCAGAGTTTGATGAGGACAATTGAGAAGTTTTGCGCGCAATGCAAATTTATGCACAAAACAACTATCATTCTTTCCGCAAGTTTTCACACTGCGGAAGAAAGTTTGAGTGAATGCATAAATTCTCCTCGAAAGCACACACATTATCAAGAGATGAATTGATAATCTCCCCCTCGCGAGCGCCCTTCTCGCCATCCCTGTGATTTGTTAACATATTCAGATTACTTTCTTGGCTGCTATAATGTTTCGCATTTATTCAAAATTATTGCTGTTAGACGCGAAGTTCGCAGTATATTTCTCATAGAGATTTATCGTGCAGCAGTTACAATAAATGACACTTGTTCTATTTTGAATAAAGTTTATTGAACTGAGTGAGAAATATTGTGGCGGTGCAAAAAGGGCAGAAACTTTCCACGCTGTGCGCGTGAAAAATTATTGCCACTCTTATTTATGAGGGAATTATTGTAATTCCGCGCCCTCAAAGTGTCGTCAAAGTGGAGTGAAAGAATATTGCACAGAGTTCATCATTGAAGCAATTGGGCCACTTTCCTCAGCTACAAGGGGGAGATAATGCAGTCAGAAGTGGTGTACGGCTCAGAAGAAGTACTTAAGAAGTGGAAGTGTTGAAAATCCTCCAATATTCCATTCATTTGTGCTTCTTTTACCGATAAATTATGCCAAATCTTTAGATTTCCTTCTTTTTTTCTAGGTTATGTAACAAATTAAGGACAGATTTAGTGAATAATTCGCTTTCTAGCACATAAATTCTTATGTTTTTTGACAAAATGAATCATTTTCCAGCAATTAACAGTACTTTTTTGATCCTTTGATACCAAGAATCACTGAAAATTGTGCTAAGATTGAACATAACCTCAAAATTTGTCATTTGGACACTTGGAAAATGTCGAAAATGTCCATTTAAACAACTTTCTGAACAATTTTAAGTTGAGAATCAGCAATTATTTGATCATTGGCGAATTTTGATGATCTCTTAGTGACATTTTGAGGTTATGATTTGAAAAAAGGCGCTTATAGTGAATTCTTACACAAATATCGGATTAAAACTTAATACAACACAATCTTTCCCTTGAATTGAACTGCTTTGATGCCTATAAAATACCTCAAATTGTGCTAAGATCGAACATAACCTCAAAAATTGTTATTTTGAAAACTTTTTTCGTGCATTTTTGACTCTCAATCAGCAATTTTTAGTTCATTTGCAAATTATAACAGATGATTTTGTGATCTAGAAAGCTTCCAAGCGGAGTTTTTGAAGATTTCTCTGTGATATTTTGAGGTTATGGTCGAAAAAGATGTTCAAAAAAAGCAGTTTTAAGTCGATTTTTATAGAATTATCGAATGAAATCTTCAAAGATTCATTATAATTGGGGAAATTATGTGGAAACAGACTACAATTTTGATGTTCTAGAAGTGTCAGACTAATTTGGAAGTGTTTGAGGCATATTATCTCCCCCTTGATCTTCTGCTCTCTCTTTGAGCGTCGACTTCACGATAAGGAATCGCCTTTGCATGAACTTCTTCCTCATGGAAATCCAATTGAAAGTACATCAAAAGCCATGAATGTATCTTTGTAAGAAGTGTTAAAAATGTTAATTCAATTCAATTTGACAGAACTTTGCCATCGGAAAAAGCCCTTCATTGCATGCAAGGCTTCGCCAAAAGCTCCCCATTTCTGTGTTGAAGTGAAAGTTTCGCAGCACCATCGAAGTTTTTTCCGCACTTTCCCGGCCAAGGAATTTAATTGCATAAGCATTTCACTCTCAAATGGAGTAATTGTTTTATAAACTTGTATAAATTAATTACGAGTGGAAAATAGTTGTTGAATTGCTTCTCTCACAATTTTGGCTTCCGGCTTCAACTTTTTCCCCCGGGAACACTTTGACCTTATTTGGGATCATTGAACGCGCGGCTCAAGAAGAGGATTTAACTCATTTTCCTCTTTCTCTTTTGCTTTTCTGTGGGCGGAAGAAGAAAAGAAATTCCACCCACGCTTTTCCACCCACTTTTCTTCTCTCTCTCTCTCTCTCTCTCTCTCGGCAATCCGTCAATTACATAATCCATCGCTGCGCACTGTCCTTTGAGCAATTAACGAGAGTACAGCAAATGTCCTGAGAGGAAGTGTCAGGTAAACACACTCCAGGAACATGACGAGGACTTCTGCCGCATGTACATAATTGCTACTATTTTAATTTAATTAATTTCGAGCACAACTTCTCATGTTGTGGCAAAAATTGCCGGCCAAATGACATTGTGACTCATTACGGCCCCGGAATTCATCATCCCAGGATCTCAGATAGCACAAAGGATTCCTGACCACGAACTTGATTTTTAATTACAATACCTTTTCTGTGCAACAATATCATTTATTTACCACATTTTCTAGTGCGCTTTTCTCATTTATTTTTCATTCTACACAAAGTCACTGTGGAAATTGTCTCTTCTTTTTTTTTGCTAATAAACTTTTTGCAGCAACTTTGTGGTGAAAAATTCATAAATAATTTGATTTTTCTTATAAAAAGTCACTGTTATTTCTACCCCATCAAAATTTATGCAACCTTTTTCCAGGGAAAAACCCCCTGAATTTTGTCCAAACTCTTACGCATACAGACTTGGTAATTAGCATGAATAAAATAAAAATTCTTTCACATGCATAAAATAGGTCGCAGTGTGACTAGAAAATGTCTCGCGATGCCGCAAAGGAAAGCTCAGAGGGAGAGGGAAAAAGTCCCTCTTTCACCGCCACAAATAGTGCTTTTCCACCCCAAATGCGGAATATGTATAAAATGCCAGGGAAAATATGTCATAAATTCTCCATGCGAGCGCGGCGGAGGGAGTAAAAAGCCATGTCAGGATGCCAAAAATGACTTCTTCCCGGGCAAATCCAGTGCGCCAAAAGGGGTTGTGCGGCCCAGCGGATGAGCCAGAATGATGATGGTGACAGAGAAAGAGTGGCCAAAAGGTCAAGGAGGAGATAATACCAACTCTCAACTCCTCAAGAGAATCTCCGAAGGAATCCCAGGACAAATTGTGTGATTCTGATTTATTTCCCTTCGATAATCTACTTTAAATTGCATTTAAAGGCAATTTTCTTACACATAACCTCAAAATAACACAATAATTAAATATTTTGGAGGAATATTTAGATCGTCTTAAGATAAATGAGTGAAATATGAATTTCTGAGCGCAAAACTGTGATTTTATATTCAAAAATAAATGAGAAAGTTCCTTAAAAAGAACATTTTCTAAACTCAAAACGTCCAAAACATATTTTTGAGGTTATGTTCGATTCTAGAACAATTTGCAGTGTTTCTTAAAGCCCAAAGATCCTTGAATTTGCGATCATTATTGTATGAAAATGCTTAATTCCACGAATATACAATCATTTTTTCAATATTTCTGGGGTTTATTTAAGTATTTAAATATTGTATGAATTTTTTGAAATCAAAATTTGAATCCCAAAGGCAAATTTGGCTATTAAAGAACAATAATTGTGAATGAAATAAAGGGTGAAACAGTCGGAACTTCTACATGCCTTTAAACTGCTGCCCTCTGACGGCAATTTGTGGCAAAAAAATAATTAATTTTTAAATAAATTCACATATTGAACCAAATGTATTCCGTTTTATGAATATTTAGTCATTTTACTGGGGAAACAATCGTTTTTCTTTCAAATGAATCTGCCACAGTATCTCCCCCTTGGGGACAGGGCGAAGGAGAGAAGATTTACTCACTTATCCGCCTTCCTAATCCCCGACCACAGCGCACTGGTGACCGGCGGCATGAAGCGCAGCGTCCCCACGGGCGGCGAGGCGTACGGGATGCCCTTGAAGACCTCCACGGGGTCCAGGTGTCTGCCCTCGAGGCCCACGATCACGCCGGACACGGAGCCGTACTTGGTGTGCACGACGCGCGACATCTGCGGCTTGGCCTCCTTGCGCTCCGCCGCCGCGTCCGCGTCGTGGCCGCCGAAGCCATTGAAGCTATCACTAATGTTTGCCGCCCAAATGGACGCGGCGAAGAGTGGCAGAATATACAGCGATGATAGCACCATTTTGCCCATCTAAGCACAAACGCGCGCGCCTTCAAGCCGCCGCACAGCGAATCATGCACATTTGATGCTGGCGAAAAACCCCCGCGATATTTCGCTCACTCGTGCACTATTTTCCGGCTGAGCCACGCAATTGCCAAAACTCCGGCGAGTCTGTTAGGTCATTTCCAAAATTGAAAAATTATTGATGCACCGCTGAATTGTACAATTTTCAATTTATATCACTCGCGCGCGCGCTTTTTTTTTTCGCCTCTCTTGCACACTCAATTCACAATATCTATGCCTTCATGCCTTTCCCATCCGCCGGGCCTTCATTGATATGTTGGGAATTTATCCTCTCTTCCCATCATCATTTCACTCCGCGGGAGTTTTTATGTGTGCACACAATTTTTATATCCACTCACTGGCTTTTTTTCTCCTCCTCCGCGTATTAATTCCCCAGTGCTGAATATCCTTTATCCTCCTCTTCTGCACACCCGCAATATTTATTCACAATTTCGACTCCTGCAGATAATTTTTATTTGATTTCCCGTCAACCGCCCGTCACCCAGGATTCACTTCTCGTTTTCTATTATTATTTATCCTCCATTCACTCTCCAGCAAGCCTCAATACTTGCGCATACATTCAACATTCGCCCACTTCTGCGAGGCTCCTCGCAATTTTGGTGTGTTTGCGGGTGAGCAAGTCAAGGTGGATTGACGATATGTCATCCGAAAACACAACTCTTCCATCCCTAACCTCACTTTGCACTTCACGGTGAAGTTATCGACACAAATTTCGTGCAATTTCCGCCAATTTCCTATATTTTGGCACAATTTTAGAGACAAAATAGGACTGAAATGGACTAATTAGTCCTTTGACTGTCAGTTTTTAAGGTTTTTCCCCTAAAATTGGGTCAAGAATAGCGAATTTCGTGCAATTTCCTATATTTTGGCACAATTTTAGAAGAAATATAAGAGAGAAATAGATTAATTAGTCCTTTGACTGTCAATTTTTAAGGTTTTCCCCCTAAAATTGTGTTAAGAAATAGCAAATTGCGCGTAATTTAAGGCTCTAATTGGACGCCAATTGGATAGAATTTATAGAAAGGGTTGCCAGATTCCTCAAGTCGACAGTGGCGCCATCTTTTAGCTCCTCTTTATCTGTCGTTTTAACCCTTCTTCCCTTCACACTTTCTTCTCTTGTGATTTGTTTTTCACACAGAGAGAAATGCAGAAAATATTCTTGAGGAGAATGAATTTTGAATTGCTGTGCAAAGAACTGCAAGAAAACTGCTATAATCGTGTTGCCAGATGGAAATATGCTTGAAAATGTTTCTCCAAAAGAGCTGGAGATAAAACCATCATCATCTGCTAACGTGATAAAGCTCAACTTCAAGCTCTACAGAATTATTAAAAATGCCAACAAAGTAGAGAAGAATAAATTCAATTTCAAAGGTTTCCTTCAAGTTCAAAGTAAACCTGGAAAATCAACTTAGCAAAAGCCTTATGAGTTCAGTTGTCAGACAAGTTTGCAGTCTCTTCAGTGTGTGTGTGTTGAGCTGAAGATTCACGCAAATGGTAAGTTTTTCCTTAATTATTCAGCTCAGCATCATACTTTCACCCTTTTAAAGGAGTCTTCATTAATGTTTCAACACAGTGGAAGTTAGAAAACTTTTCCTAAAGTGTTATTTCAACTCTTATAATAGTGGTGAAAATCCTTTGAATATTCTTCCTCAATCATTCAACGTTTTCGTGTGTGTGTGTGTTAAAAGGAGTGATGAGGAGATTTCCAGGATAACATAACCACACTTTCTTCTATAAATCAATTTCTTTGCACAAACTTTTCCAAACTCTGATATTTTCTCCTTTTTTGGCAAAATGCTTCTAAAAGTAACTCTTTTGCGGTCTCTATTTAGAAATTGAGTTTAATTGAAAGTTTTTCTCGCATTTCATTGTAGTTTAAATCTTTCATCGCACAATGAATGGATTCAAAAACAATGAGTTGTGTGGCATTGAAGTGCCTTGAGGAGTAAAAAGACAGTGGAGAAAAGGACGCTTGGCGCTTTGGGATCAGGAGGAAAAGCGAGAGATTAATGGCAGTTTGTCATTTTCCTACAGTTAAATCTCCTCTTTTCCCTCCCAACGCTGTTTGTATAAATCAATAACTATACTGTTCATACTCTATTCATGCTTTTTTACCCACAACCACCCATCGTTTCTGGCTCTCTCGCCCTCTCTCGCTCTCTCTCTCTCTGCTATCTACATTAAATATTATTCCAGCAGGACCAGCAAATGCTCCTTCACCCGTCGCTATATTATGTTGTATAATACCCCAAATAACATGCTCAGGAGCAGCAAAAATCCCTGGGCAAAAATTGCGCTCACACAGAATTAAATTTTCTCATGGAGATTTCCTCTCTCTTCACTGGCATTTTTTACGATATTCATGGTGTCATAAAGAAAATTTCTGTACACGGCGTGAGTATTTTATCGCTTTTCAACAGCGGATTCTTTCAAATTCACCCTCCAATGTGTCACTTTTATGTGTGTTTCATTTAGCACGGCGACTCTGTCGGAGCTCTAATTCCAAGGGGTAAACATGTGGCGCAATCACAGTTCACTGAGAACGCAATCTTCGCAATCCCAAACGCAATCCGCAATCCCTAGTGTAAAATCGCAATCTTTTGGCGCAATCACCGCAATTCTAAGTGCAATCTTAAGCACAATCCGCAATCCCTAAGAGTATTTCGCGGAATTTGGGTAGTTTTTCTCGAAATTTGGTACGTATTCAGATTGATTTACTATTTTTCCATGGCGTGATGAGCAAAAATGTGATTTGTTCTTTGTGATATCTTACTAGTAATTCTCTGATCCAAGTAAGTCATTTTATTATTACTTTATACAGTCAATCACATAGGACGTAAAGGTATAAATTCTACCAGTGATCTCGTAAAAAAATGTTTAGAATATTCTCATTTAGTGAATTCACTAACAAAATACATTTTTTTGGTTTAAATTTGGGTATGAATTCCTTCAGATATTTGCTGTTCAAATGAGATTTCACGATAGGTATTTACTGGAATAATAAATATAGGCAGATTGGCACTTTTACATTGCTTCGAGTCGATTTTCTACCTGAATTCCTTGAAACAAGGGCAGATTTTTACAGAGCAAAATGCAAAATTTTGAACCACGTTGAGTCGTCGACGCAAAATTTTTTCGAACGCAAGGTATAAATTTTAAACATGTTTTTGATCTGCATTTATACAGTGTGGCAGAGAGAAGAAAATTATTATCATTGAAAATTTGATTGATAATAATTGCATTGGACTGGCTATTTTCTGACCAGAGGGCTGAGTCTTGAAATTCGTCAAAATCAGAATCAGTGGAAATTGACTGATTTTGAGAAATTCGCGAGTCTTGAGTAAAAATCAGTCAGAAACCGAGTCGAAATTGACTCAAAATCAATCAACTCGTGTTGACATGAGAACATCGAGTCAACACGATTGCTCAGTGTCTCAATTTTAAGATTTTACTTCAATTAGAGTATCAAATGGCCATCGATGGCATCGGAAATGGTTAATAGAATAATTATTTTAATTGTTTTTAATTTTATATTGATAATTTTCCTTATTATTGCTGAGATAAAAGTATTTCTTTTAGTCCCTGAGAGTCCTTTGCAGTGTTGAGGCAACGATAATCCAAATTTTATTATGTCATGCATAATCCTTGCCATTAACATTTTCAGTTTTGAAGGTATCTTTAATTGAATGGAATTCCCAAATTCTTCGCCCTTTGCTTAGTGCTTAAGTCTCATGAATTATGAATCAATGAACTGAACATGTGGACAGATAGTACAAATCCAAGTGTAATCAGAAGATGAACAATTGGTTCAACAAAAAAAATGGATGGAGAAATTTTTGCAAAGGGGAAGAAATTGATCCCCATCTCGTGGCGCACCTCAAGATCACTCGCAGAAGTCTCATTCTGCTCCTGGGACTTCTCGTATAACCGCAGGAGAACATATGTACGTTAATAATGCACATTATTCACATATTTGTCGCCCGAGGGTTAATTTTAGCCTTCTTAAGGCGTGGGCAGACACCCCATGATGATTCTTTGGGGTAAAAGTTAAGTTTGAGGAGCATTTTTATCATTTTCTGCCTCAAACACCTCAACTTGGCTCAAATCAAAACAACAAAATGACGTTTCTGCCTGCGTTCCGAAAGCATTTCCCCTCCCGAAAAATTCCGAAGGCTGATTTTGACTCAAGACTCACGAAACTTTCAAAATTGACCTCATGTCAACAAGTTAAAAATCGATGATGTTCTGTTGATTCTGATTTTGACGAATTTCAAGACTCAGCCCTCAGGTCATATTTGCAAGTATTAGTGTGAGTTCAAGCAACCCAAATAAACTTGGCCATTGAGAGAAAGTGTTGCAAAATGAATATAGGGATTATACATGGGTATTTCCCAAAGGATTCTCTGTCTCTGAAATTTTGCTAATTTTTGTAACGAACTTTCTTCTTTCCTTAAACCAATGGTTATTACTTCAGAAAACGTTGAGTTGAACATTTCATCTGTCTATTCAGACTCTCAGAAATGAAAATAGCAATTCCATCTCGAGGTACCAAAAAGTGTTTAGAAAAAACTTCCAGATGACCAATTAACTACAGATGAGAAGGTTTTCATGAATGTCTTTGGTTCCGAAGTTGTCATCTCTGATCTAAGTCAATCTCAACCTGGATCTGCTTGAGGATCGTCTCTCGCTGTATTTTCATTTATCATCGCAAAA